TCAAAAAAGGCCGGGGTAGGGAAAGAAGTACTGCGGATGAGAGCATGATTGCGTGTTCTTGCAAGGATTTTGTTCTGGATGCGGCAATTCGCCGTCCCGCTTCCTGTCACTTCGATGCAAATTCGATACTGAAATGTAGATTGGCGCAATGTGCGAAGAGAGACAAACGCCCGAAGGAAAGCGAATCCAAACGGCCTATTATCATCTCACTCATTTTGAAATCTGTAGTATTGTGTTTGGGTTCGTGAAAAATCCGTTACATCGGCTTCAGAAAAACGACTGAAGAAAAATAGGTTCAATCACAAATAGGGCCGATGTCAATAATTCTGATTTTTTAGGACCCCATTTGAATTTTTTCTAACTCGTTCTCTTCTTATTCTGGTTTTTTGATCCTACTCATTTATTAACTAATTTTGAGCTGTTTTCTCGCTATAAACAACGGCCTATTTTTCAGAAACAGCTTCGAAACGGAAAACTTTGAGTTGTTTTTCTGAAAAGCAACTCCTTTTCATCTTCCTATTTATGCTACTAATTTTGGTCTTACAGTTGCATTTTCTCATTCAAGATTTGGAATCTGAGGTTCTAATTTAAATAAAGTGGAAAAAGGGTTCATAAAAATGCTCCTTTTAGGGTGGCAAAGGTTCCTTTTTTGCTGCCTTTTTTGCGCCATTTTGTTTGCTCTTTTGCACAATTTTTGCTGCTTTCCCTTTTTCCATTATTACTTAAGCCTTTAAAAATTTAGAAAATGTAAAAGAGACTCTTTTTGTTGCCTTTCTGCGGTCTTTTTTTGAGTATCTCTTTTTGGCCATTATCCTCCGAGTATACGCCGTTATTGCTTTAGGTTCATTTTTTTTAAGTTTTTCCTGAATTTGGGGTTCGGAAGGTTTTTCGAAGTTTTATATAGGATTGCCAACTTTTGCATTTTTTTTTTTAGGTTATATGAACTTCTTCCAAAAAGCTGATATCATTTGGATGAATCGAACGCATCGCTTAAAAAATTCACGGAGGCAGTAGTGCTATTATTTCCCCGAATTTAACGAGCGACTTCTTTCTTAACTTTTATCATTCATTTTTCATGGAAGTCTTTTTCATCACATCCAAAGCTTCATGAAGCTTGTGGAAATTGAACAGCGGAACGCGGTTGTCCAGAAAATTTACAACCACCGGAGATGAATGGACCTTGCGGCTGTTTCAAAGATTATGATTTGTCGTAATATGCTGGAAATCATATTTTCGGTGAAAGGATAACCATGCGGCATGGATGAAAGGGGTTGGGGGTAACGGATAGGGTGTTGGGTTGATATTGGCCTAGCGCGTTTCTTATCGCCCGATTGAGCAGCGGTCTTCGGCGCAAGGTGGTTTCTGTAATTAGAGATCGCTCCGTGCAACGGCTATCTGAAACCTCATGATCTTCTTTCTTTTCGCAACGTTCTTGAGGTTATCCAATCGACCACTTGGCTTTTTTAACGCCCCTTTGATATGGTATTGTCTTTTTTACTGGTGAGATAACCAAATGACCATTTTTTCATCTTTTTTTTGAGGGTTTTTTTTTCATTTTGTATGACTTTGGAAGCTTGAATAATTATCACAGAGTTCAATATCTTTCCGAACTATATTGTGTTAAAACCTTTTTCGGATTTTTTAAGACCGCGAGGTAAGAGAAAAATCCAATTTTGTTTCTCAAGACCATTCTTTGAAATAATTTCAAGTTTTTCGGCTTCGGTCTTCCATGAATATCTTAGCAAAGCTGGTGCAAAAATCTACACTTCAAAATCTCGAAGAATATCACAAAAAAACTTCATAAATCTGTTTTTTTCCTGGAACCCTGGATGACCCAAAATGAGCAAAAAATGAGGAGAGCCTATTAATCTGCTGACGAACAAGCTTCAATGCTCAAGTGTCATTATTCCGATGGCAACGATTGTTCTGCGCTACGTCGGACATGAAAAATCGGCTGTCGCTAACAATGCTCGCATAATGAAAACCACGGCTTTTATGTTCAGCTCTTGACCTTTTCGCTTTTTCAGTTTTCTGGCTAATTCATTATTTTTTTTCTTATTTGGTTGGTCATAGTCGTAGAAAAGATCATCTTAAAAAGTTCCTTACACTTTGATAAATGTGGAGTTTTTTTCCGCAATGTGCTGATTAACTGAAAATTTCAGAAGGTTAGTGGTCTTTTTCGGCCCTTGAACTGTATTATTATTCGTATTGAATAAATGAAATTTATGAAACAGATAAGTGATGTAAATTTCAATAAGGCCATAAAAAGAAAAAAAAAGATTTTTTTGCAATTTACAGGTGATATCTTGATTTTTGAAACATCTAAAATTGAATTTTGATTGAATCTTGAGTCTTCAGAGGTTGTCAACTTTGAAAATATTTTTTTGAAATAAATTTTTTTCTAGTACCGGCTGAATAAACTATTTACCAACTTCTTTTGAAAAAAAAGTCGAGGATGCATCAAACGGCGTTGCTTAAACGACTCCGACACCTTAATCGGTTTTCATTCGAAGTCTAAACCAGAAATAATTTACAACACCAAAATCCTCACTCAGAGTGGAAGTTAGCCTAGCAAAACTTCGCTTGCGACGTTCTACAGACTTTTTTTGGTTTCTCAGTTCCCCGGTCCTCTTCCGTCCATTGTTTTCAGTTCGAACACGCAAGTTTACGCACGAAAGTTGGGAATTTGTAAGAACGCAGCAAAATCTGAGGAAGCGACGACGGTTGTGTTGACAGAACGCATTGTGGGATGCATGTTTGTGTGTGGTGACGGTTCCGCTTACTTCGATTCTCAAACTTTTTTCACAAGGGTTTCCTTGCACAGCCAATGTTGAGCAGTAACTTTTCGGTTTTTTTTTTCTGTTTTGGACAGATTCTATCTTAAAATTAACACATAAGCATGATTGCAAAGAAAGCTTCCGTGGATATAACCTCATTACAAAAGTTTCAAATTTTTTTGCTCACTTGAACATCCAGCAGTATAATTTACTATTCAACATGTACGCTAGACCCTATCTTGACTATTGCTCTGAAATCTTCTCACCGCCTATAAATTCAGAACTGTCCGTGCTACTTGAAAAACCTTACCGTCATTATACTAGGCAAGTTTTCATGAGACGTAATAAAAGAACTTCTATTGCTCTAGTAACGCTTCAAAAAATCGTCCTGGGCATTTACCACTTTCCTAGCGCAGAAAAGTTTTTCAGTAGAAGTCGTTCACCTCGGTATCCTTTTCGTTTGATTCAGACTGGTCCCAGATTTAATAGTTTTTTAGCACTGTCATTCCTCTTTGGAATAGACTCTGCTCAAGATTCAACCCTAACACGTCTACCACCCGTTTCAGAAAGTTTCTCGACTCGCTAAGCAACGAAGAACTCTTTTCCAACATTCCCTTACGTCTACTGTGATCATAAATCCTACTACGTGTCCTATTCTCTATACCGGTAAATTCGCTCGTGAGGGCGTATTAAAACCGGTCCTAATTTCACTCTAATATAATTCTTGCTCAAGCTATGTATCTTTATTTGTAGTTCATTTTGTTTTATGTATCAGAGTAAAATAAATATTCAAATATTCAAATATTCAAATGTTGCTTTTAAATTCATGACCAGAAATCGACCAAGAGAGACTTCCCTACAAAATTGCTAGCCGAAGAAAAGTTCTTTTTTTTCCATGTTTCAGACATTTTTCTCCCGAAAAAGTAAAGGACTACTGTCAATCAAAACTTCATCCTACGAATTCCTTCACTTTCCGAGTTTCTCTTCTCAACCAAATGTGAGGATCTAATCTTTGTCTTTTTTTCGTCGTCCAGAAAAAAACCAAAAATACTTTTTTTCTTCTTTTTTTCAAACAAAAAGAAGAATGTTTTTGTTTCTGGTCATGTGAAAAAAGATAACATTCATCCGAAGAATGTTTAGTGTCAGATTTTTCTGTTTTGTTCTTTCAATCATTTTGATAGATTCTTTGGTAAATTTCAGCGATTTTAAGCTCTCCGACACATAAAAAAGTGTAAAACCATTGGAGGAATGTTTTGCAAATGACATTTTCCGCAGCGCCGCAACTTTGGCCTTTATCTGTGAAACAATAAATTGTGTCTGATTTTATCTGCCTAAAAGATCCCGGCAGGAAGAACACATTGGCATTCTCTACGAAAATGTCCGCGCGACACCAGACGGTCAAAATTTGCATAATTTTTGAACTGTCTCGTTTCACTTCATTTTGAATTTCATTTGCGTCGACAGACGGCTGGGTACCGTCTTTGTTCTTAAATACCGTAATTTTTGCATTTTTTTTTCTTTAAAAATGTCCATTTTGCTCGGCTGTCGTTAATTTTTGGGACAGTTTTCGAGCATTTTTTTCTATCCTCTTTTTTTTCTACATCATTGAACAGTTTAATTATCAGACTTTTTCATTGCTTTTTCATAAATTTTGACAAAAGAAATCATAAAATTGGAAAAACTCCTTAAAAAAAAAATCAAATTTTTGGAGAAAAACGTAAATTTTTAGCCGTATACCTTGGTTGACTCTTTTTTTCTCAATAATTCGGAAAACTTTGATATTTTACCTTTGCTATGACCTATCAAGAAAGGCGATTTCGGTATAAATTTTTGAATTCACTATCATTGTCACGAAGTTTTGAATGCTTAGAGGAAACATCTTCTTAACTCCTAATTCAACAAAAATCAGTTCTTGACATGAATAATTTCATCGCAAAGAAATATTTGATGTAACCTTGGTTAGGAGTTAAAAAAATGTTGGAAAAAAATTAACTTAAGCGTCCATAAGGTATCTTCATACATACCTATATTTTATCATTGAAATTGTATCTCTAGGGAGTTAGAAATTCATTCAAGCTCAATTTTCGGAATAGAAAGTTTCTCACAACAGAACCGCGAAAAAGAAGCCTAGGAAAAAAACTCAAAAATTTTCGCAAAAGAGAGAAGAAAACTGCAAAGTTTGAAAAAAAGACGGAACACACGAGCAAGTGGAGTTTGTCGTGATTAGGTTTGATATGCGTCCGTCGAGCATATGACGGGTGATTGGCAAAGCTCCTCCGTCCAGGAGGTCACATTCCCTTGAGGCGAATCCTCGCTGATATGTCGCGTGTTTGTGGCGAATATCCGATGCATGGCTTTTTGGAGCGGCGCCCATCCGAAGACCCATCTTTGTCTTCTTCCGCTGTACTCCGTTGTTGTCGGGCCGTTTCCCACGGTGCTGAGCGGCTGACATTTGTCATAAGGCGGCCTGCTTTGGAACTTCGTACTAGAAGTCGCTAAAAATGCTTCTTTCTTCTGATGTCAAGGATTTCTTTATTTGATTACTCACACTTGCGTAGGAATTGAAATTTTCCCTTCATATCCTTGATCGTCTAATTACACTCTGAAATTTTGTACTAGGTAATTCATCGATTCAGGATAAATTCACTGAAATCGTTACGTGAGATGACTTTTTTTGTGATATCAGCAAAAAATCAACTACGTAGGATCATGAAGAACCATTTTTCGAAGTTCTATGTCAAGCTTCATCCTCTCAATTAGCGCTAATTTATCCGGTCATACGCCAGAAAATTTGAGCTTCGGATAGTTCTCGTGATAATATTTTGTCAGGCTTCAAACTCGTTTTTATATTTTTCCAGCCTTTAACTGTCTGTATAATTAAGAAAATCGCAAAATCGCTTTCTATGAATATCATTTACAGGTTGAATCTTTTGAAAAGTCAGTTAATCCAAAAGTTTATCAACTTGATCCATGACAGAGAGAATTTTAGAATAATCCGTTTTGTGAACATTATTCAAGTCAAGTTGAAATTATCTACTAGGCTCAATTTTTTCGGAGTTTGGAGAGCCACCTGCGGTCTTCCTGAGCAGGAAAGTTCTCGGAGCACAACCACCTGCAAGGAGGTCTGGTGCTGACCAACCAGTGACGTAACGAGCCGATGAAAAGGTGTCGAGTTGATGAAATGAGCAGCGAGACCAGGTTGCCATTTGTTGTGCGCGGCGAACGGCTTGCGGACACCAGTTGACCCAACACCTGTCGGCATCCGCTTTCTTCCGGACCTCAGGGCTTCTCACCAACCTATTACTCCTGATCTGTGGCTTTCGCGGTCCTCAGTTGGCCGGCGAAGTTATTTTTCTCTTTTGCTTTCCGCTCGGCGGGTTGGGGAATCCAAATGCAATTTTTCATCTCTGCAGAAACATCTATGATATGTTGACTTCCCGCTCTCTTCTGTTTCTTACTTTCGAATACTTGAACCCATCCGTTGGCAACTTTTCTTCGTTTTTCGTGAGAAGTTTGATGCTTGTTAGTAACCCTTAATACTGCTATGAACATGAATTTTTCAAAAAACTTTTGGTTGAACAGAACATTTTTCTGAAGAAGCTGTTATAGAAGCTTCCAGTAAGAGTCGAAAAAAAAAGCAGTTCTCAAGTAGACCTGCTCCGACGGCAATAGTCTCATTTCTTCCTCAAAAAATATTGTTACATAACTATTTTCGGCTCTGAATTTTTTTGAGATTGCTCACCAAGCTTCCTGAACTCAACTGAATGATTTCCTGCTAAAAGAGAATGAGTGAATTTTTGGTTTTGTTTTCGCTATAGATTCTGCTAGAATCCGTTTGGGAGTTTAATAGAATGAATCCAATCTGAAAAATGCAACATGGCTCACTTTAACGGCTTTTTCTTCGTAGTTTACGCACTTTTTTATTGCTTTCCTACGTCTGACTATGATTGCTCTTTTTTCGTTTTCATCTAACCGCTCATCCTTACGATTGACCCGATTTTTAAAAATGAATCCAGTTTTTTTTTTGAAAAATTCGTTCAATTTATGAAATTTTACAGTCAGCAGCATTTTTGTTTGAACTGCGATGAACTTCAATGATTTAAAAAAACTCTTAGAAGAACATTTTTTTCTTGACTTTTTTTAATTTTTTTCTTTAAAAAAATAAAAATAAATCTAGCGCCTAATGACTAACAACTTAAGAAATTTCATTTTTTTAAACGGAAAAGAAGTGATAAGGAAGTTTTTCAACAGGACCTACAGGAAGATTAAGTGGCATTTTCCAAACCCTCCGAATTTCCTGTCAAGATTTTTTTGCTTCCAAGTATCGAGAAAGTTGGGAAGGTTCCCACAAAACAGTTGCAAACAGGATTAGGCTCAAACTTGGAATTTCACGGTCGTAGGGAAACATTTTCGCAGAAGGCAAAGTCAAAAACGGGCATTAGAATACGGCTCATCGGTTGCCGTCGGTGATTTTTTCCACCAAGGCCACGCCGAAAATCCATGCACGCCTAAAAGACGACATTTTGACCCCCATCAAACGACGCTTTATCGGCTTTAATGACACGAGCGACGATAATGACATGTTAAGATTGCAAAATTCGCTACGAACTCGGAATTAAAAATCCTAGTCCAAACAAACGGTCTCCAGGCGCGGCGACTTTCCTAAAAATTCTTGTTTTTTTTCCATTTTCAAGTTCAGGTGCTTGTAACCAATCAACTCAAGAAACGGCTTATTATACCTAATAAGAAGAGGATAACTTAAATTTTTCTCTTCTCTTCGAGAGAACGAGTTTTTACAAATTTTTCCCCTTCTGAAATTCAAATCCGAGTTCAAATTTGAAACCAAGTTTTGAAACTGTCTCCCTGAATAAATATATAACTTTTTACAAAATCTGAAAAACAATTGGGTTAAGAATTCCTGTGTTTTAGAGATTTTCGGAGGCCAGAGTAGCGGTTTTGTTTGCCGTCGCGGATGGCCAAAGGCTTCCATTTGATTGCCTGCCGGCTCCTTTATGGTTTTCTCATTGACTTTTCATTCACTCACAGCGTCCATTGAATACTCGGTAACTTATGGTGTAAAAAACAATGTCCGTTTTTCTATTTTTATCGCGATGCTCAATGGGAACGCCCACATAAAATTGTCTTCCGCGACTTATGGCAAGAACTAAAATTTCAAAACGGCTCTCTTCCGAATTTTCTCTTTGCTTTTTTTTCGTTTGAACTGAAGGGCCCATTAGGATTTGACTTCCTACCCGACTTCAGCTTCTTTTTTATTGGGTTTCGGATTTTTCTTTTACCGCTCTTGATTCTGCATTACTTCTTCTTCTTAGCTTTCAGTTCTTTGTGTGTTTGCCTTTTATAAATTCTGGATAGTTAATCTTCCTACTTAGAGTAAGTCATTCTTCCCAATTTTCCAAAGTTTATAATTTAAAAAATCTTCGAAATTTCTCTGTTCTTTCCAAGCGACCCATACTTTGAAGGGATTTTAAATTTCGAAACGAAACGCGCTGAAAAAAGACTAATTTGCGTGAAATTGGTTGCGTTTTAATGTGGATGCAATTACCGTCCGGCTGAAGGTGGTACAATCCCACCCGACGGTTTTTTTTGAGTCAAAACGTTTTTTTGTTTGGATTGCTCGTTGAGAAAATTTATGAGCATTTCAACTTTTCCAACTTTCTTTTTTTCAGGGTTCAAGATGACCGAAAACGCGCAATCGAAGGGATCGCCGTTTTTTTCGCTTTTCCATAGAAAGAAAAAAGTTAATGGAGCTGTATCCAGCGACAACCTCAAAAGCGCGTCAAGCAGTCCAGTGAAAAAAGAGGTTTGAATTTTTTTGACTTTTTTACGCTGTCGATGTTCAAATTTTGAAAAAGGCTTAGTGAAAAAGGTTAGGGTTTTTAAAGGTTTTAACTTCAGAACTGATTTCTCAGATTTGGATTTTTGTTTCGAGTAGATATGACGTTTCTTTTAGCAATCTTTCAAGTTATTCTGAAAAAATCAAATTTCAAAATTTCAAAGCATGCTTTGACCAATCTCAAGAAGCCCTGAACTTTCAAGAAGAATAACCTTTCGGGCGAAAATTTATTTTCTCACTTTCTCCTACCGAGTTCTTTCAGGATAAATACCTCAACAACAAAGAAAACAAGAAGAACGAGCTCAGCCACACATTGCCAATCATCGACGCGAAGAGATCAAGCAAAAAATCGAGCAAAGGACGCAAAGACCTCGGGAAGGTACGAAAAACGGATCAATTGGATAATGTTTCGAACTCTTTCTTACAGTCCGTGTCTATGGATGTTCTGCTCGAAGGAGATGCTGCAGTCCTTGTGGAAGCTCTTGAAGCAATCGGAGATGAGAAGCCGATCGTTGCTCGGAGCATCCCGAAACACGCGAAAATCGTCAAGAAAGAAGACAACAGCTTGAAAAACTGTCTGTTTGAACAAGAGGTTTCATTTCCTTTGAATTCAGAAGGTAGGATTTTATTCAGGTCTACGATACGATGCTGTCAGATTCGCTGCGAGTTTGCGAAATGCTGCAGTCTCACCTCGACGACTGTATGGTTTCTGTTCGCGCCAAGAGCCCGGATCCTTGTACTACTCATTCGATCGTAGGTGTTATTCTTCTTCTTTTTTTTCTTCTTAAGCCCTGAGCGGCGTCGGCGCCCCGAGTCGATTAGCCGAGGTCCTATCCTGAAAAGTGATAATCAGGGGACTGGCTCTAGAGACATACTCGCTCTTGTCTGTGACGACTGGGGATTTTTCCCACAATCAACATTTTTTAAACCCTTTGGTTGGGTCGAGGCGGAGATCGAACTTGTGACCCTGTGGACCGTAGACAGGCACACAACCTGTTGCGCCACTGCCACAATTATTCTTAGGGATCATTGATTTATTCTTCTAAAAATCCAGCTATTTTTATGATTCTCAGGATGGCAGAGACTCCGGCCGAGGCGCATCTTCTCCGTCTTCAACAATGTCCACAAGCCCCACCGTCAAGCGTTCAGTTAAACCCTAACTTTTGTTCATACTAAGGGAAACAAACTCTGTTCGATTTGCTAAAACTCTCATTCGGGTCTCTCTCGAAATAGCTTAGCTTTGTTTCGTCATAATAAAATGATCCTCGCATGTTCAGCTTTTACACTTTTGTCCTCTTCGAAACTTTAATTGTATCCTCGGTGTTTTACCGCCATTCCATTGTTCGCCGCACCTGATTTGATGACAATTTCTCCAATTTCAGCTAAATATACATAATATTACTGGTTTATAAAGATCTTCTTCTCAAAGGACTTATCACAGAAATTAAAGCGGAACCGGGAAAGATTAAAGGAAAAAAAGTTCCTACAGTTTCAATTGTAGAATATTTCAGAAAAAAATTGTTGAAAAAGTCTATAATTTCGACCATGGTCATTCTACCAAAAAGAATAAAGCTTAAAAAAATGAAATAGAAACTCCCGAAATTTTCTCGCTTTTTTTCATGAGCTTGTACGAAAACATTAAGAAACTGAAACTTGACGTTAAATTGCTATACTTATTTTTTTATCTATTAAAGAACGTCTGAGTTTGAGCCGATTTTCCTCAAACTGTCCAAAATACCAACTTGATTGCTCGAGTAAGCCTTTCACTTTTTAAAGAAGTTCTCAAATGAAAAATTTTTTATTTCCTAAACAAAAATAAATACTATATGAAGTTAGAAGGCAAGGCAGGCGGTGGGAACCTCGACGCTCTTGACGAAGGACATGGGGTATCCTTCAAGACGGAGGGTCTTCTCACGAGCGTCGTTCAGGAGACGACGAGCTTCAGCCTTGTGGCGAGGCAGGCAGGTGAATCGCACCTTCTTCGGCTGCGACTCCTCGGCTTCGAAGCCACGACGGCACTCCTTCACGGGCTCGAGCGAGAAGCAGACGCGGTGGGAGTACTCGACGACCTTGGTCTTCTCGACAAGTTCTGAAACTTCCCATCAGTCTTGAAATTTTCCTGATCACCAACCGGATTTCTCCTGACGCGATCCGCGGCTCTCGGTCTCGTAATCTTCAGAGTCGTACTGCTGCCAGTTTTCCTGCTCGTTTTCGTATTTGGAGACCTTGTAGTTCTTCTTCTCGGAGAGGCGGCTCTCTTCGATTTCGCACTCCTGGAAATATTTCATAAAAATAGCAGTCATAAATTATGATTTACGTCATCCTTGAGAAGGAAAGAACGGTGGAACTCCTCGATGTCTTCGGTTTCGTTGTCTTCAGCGGTGCGGAACTCGTTGTCAGACTAGAAGTATGATTTTTCATTTAATTTCGAAGCGATTCCTTACGTTGTCGTCGTTGTTTCCGCAAAGTCCGCAGAGTCTACCCTGAGAAAGCTGGTTCATGTTGGTCTTGAGGGTGTAGCCGTCGAACTGGACTTCTCCGTCTTCGAGCTGGATGACAGCAAGCTTCTCGTTGATGAGTTCGATGCTAAAATTGTTTACCATTGAAATAAACTCTTGAACGAAGCTCACTTGTACTGGGAAAGCTCAGAAGGCTTGTTGACCTTCTTCTCGTTGACCTCAACCTTGATTTCTCCGTTGCGCTGTTCCAAGACGATTTCGTCGTTCTCCTTGACAATCTTGACCTTCAGAAGATCTCCCTTCTTGTTCGACTTCTTGGCGAGGATGGCGAACTGAGATTCCTCAGAGCAGTCCTTGGCGATGACCGAGTAGCAGGTAGTGAGCGGAGCTTGGTAGATGAGGTTGTCGAAGGTGGTGACCTGGTCCTGCTCGACCTCGCAGACGGCGTTGACCTTCTCAGAAAGAGCCTGACGCATGGAGCGTTGAGCAATGGATGGCAGGTAGACACGAGTGGGCAGTTCGACGTTGGAAATGACGACTTGCTGCTCAGGAGTCTGGACGGAGACGTTGCAGTACTGGCGAGTGATGGGATCAACCGTCAGACGAAGGACGACACGGTTTTCCTGGTTGTCCTGGGGACGTTCCTGGGTGCTCCAGAAAGAGTAAGCCTTGATGAGGTTGAACAGACGGCCGAAGACGAATTCACTCTCACGGTTCAGTTTGTAGTTGGCGACGGCGCTGATCTGGTTGAGGCGGGCGGCCTTGACAAGGCGTTCGTACTCGGGCATTCCGTGGGATTCACGCTCGATGCTGTGGATCCACTTCTTCAGCTCAGGGCTCTGTTCGAGCTGGACGTTGACTTTCAGCTCATTCTGCTTCTCAGATCCCCAGCGGGAAACAATCGTGGCCTGGATTTCACGGTGAAGCAAATCCTTGAGCTGACGGAGAGTGTTGGGCATTTCCGGGAGCGCGACCAGAAGTTCAGAATCGAGGTTCCACTCCTTGCGTTCAGAGTCGGACGGCGATCGGTGGGCTTCCAAGGTAGCCTTGACGACGCGAACTTCTTTGTCGAGGACGGTGGTGAGCTCAGAGTTGAAGTATTTCTCATCGGGAGTCTCCAACTTGAGGGTCAGGCGATGTTTGTAGCCAGAGCCAGACTGGATGTCGCGGATCATCTTGTGGAAGTGCTCACGACGCTTGTTCTCATCACGCTTCTCGAACTGAGAGTCTTCAGATTCGAACTCAGACTCGAAGACGTTGTTGAACTCGACCTCAGACAGCTGAGAAGTTTGGAGTTTTCCAATGTTCAAACGAGCGGTGAAGCGTCCTTCTTGACGGCGGCTTTCGACGGTGTATTCGATGTCCTGCTCGCAAAGAGCGGCATTCTCCCAGGTCCACTGGTTGAGCATGTTTCCGCGGACAGTCATCTCAAGACCGAAAAGTTTGTAGGATCGCTCAACCTCGACGGTCTTGCGCTGCCACTGAGGAGCGACCAAAGTCTTCTCTTCAGCTTCGACGTAGTTCATCTCTTCAGAGGTAGGGAATCGCAAGAAAGCGACGGGGCGGCTGGAGACCTGGATGGTGGTCTTTGAGTCCTGAGGAATGGTCAAAGAAAGCTCGACTTCGACGTCCTTCTTGAGGATGATTCTGGCGTCCATCTTGACGGGGACATTGGCTCGGATGGATCTGAGCGACTTGGTTCCTTGTTCGAAGAGGGGAGTCCAGAAGCGCATCTGCGTGACATGAGTGGCAGCAATGGAAGGCTGGACCTCAAGAGTGAAACGGCTTTCAAGAGACATAAGCTCGACGGAGAGCTTTCCTTGGACGGAGAAGACAGTAGGGAGCTTGACAGTGATAGCCAAAGGCAGACCCATGCTGGTAGGAACCTTGCGGGTCATGTCGAAGAAATAGGCGGCGTGGTGGTTGTTGAATTCCGGAAGCTGGTTGAACAGACGCTCAAGAGAAGAAGTCTCGATCTTTCCGTTCTTGACGTACTTCTCGACAAGACGCTCGATCTGTTCGACTTCAATGGGGAGGACGGCGAAGTCCATCTCCTTGTAGCGCAAGTAGAAGACGGCGTGAGGCTGCTGGGTCTCTTCAGAAGAGCTTCGCGAGCGGATGTTCATCTTCTGAGCCAGTTTCTTGAGGAGAGAGATTCCAGACTGAACACGGCGTCCACGGACGACAGTCTTGTCGGAATCCATCTTCTGGAGCTTGTTGAGGGCTTTCATGACGATCTGGTCCAAGTTGTTCTGGGAGAAGCCCATCTGGACAAGGTATCTGTTCCAGTTTCCTCCGAAGACGGAGTCGAGCGAGGCAGTCAGTTCCTTGGGAAGGACGGAGTTCTTGCCGAAGATGGCAGCCATGTCGAGTTGAGCACCAGACAGAGCTTCCTCAGAGAAGAAAGGCAGCTGATGGAAAGAGGCGAGGACGCCTTCTTGAGGTTGGTAGCGGACGAAGTTCAAGAGCGACTGGATGTTGGAAGCAACACGCTTGTAGCACGGGTTGGTCGACTGCGAAAGCGACTGGAGAAGACGGTAGGTGAAGGCGGCGACCTGCTGGTTGGACTCACGGTCCATCTGGTAGACAATCTGTGAAAGCACAGGCTCTTCAGGGAGAGTCTGCATGATTCGCCAGACAGCGGCCATGCGGAGTTCGGGGGTCTGCTGACGATTCTTGTAGATGGGCAGAAGGATGTTCTGGATCTTGCGGGGCATCTGGTCCTTGAGGAGACGCAGAGCATCGATGGCTTCCATGCGGACAGGGAGAGGCTGACGCTTGTCGTAGATGATCTTCTCGAGCTCCTGGACGGAGACGTCGATTCCGGCGTTTCCAAGGGCCTTCAAGGCAAGGATCTTCTCGTAGGTGGTTTCGGCGTCATTGAAGAGGCTCATGAAGACGCGGACATACTTCTGCTTGAGTTCGCGAGAGTGTTCCTTGACGAGATGGATTTCAGGGGTCTGAGAAACGACTCCACGGACGACAGAGCCGATGGCGAGCCACGAAGACTGGCGGATAACTTCGTTTTCGCGAGAAATCTTGGACTTGGCCAGCTGGAGAAGAATCTCGACGATGTGCTCCGAAGGATAGGGAGTCTCCTGCACGGACTTCAGAAGTTGAGCCGCCTTGATGGGAGAGAAGCCTTCTTGTTCGATGTGCTTGAGCAAGTGCTTGATGGTGTTTTTGGTTCCGGAGATAGCGTAAACGTGAGCCAAGAAAGACTGGATCTGAAAAAAAATGTGATGAATTCACGATATAGTTTTCATTGAGCTATCCTGAGCTTTATAGTTCGCTTCAAACTAGAAGTCCAGAAATTTAATTTTTCTTTGATGAAAAGAGAGAAAACCATACCTTTTTGTCGGCCTTCTTGTAGATTTCGGAGTGAATCTGATCAAGTTCTTCGACGGTGCACATGCGGACGAGGCTGACAAGACGGGCGAGGTGGTGGGCAGTCTCCTGCTTGTTGTCCTCGTTCTCCATGATCTGCTCGGTGATGGTCTTGATCTGCTGGATCTTCTTCTCGGTCTGGTACTGCTCGAAGGGGTTGACGGAGGCCTTGTCGCCCTTCTTGAAGAATTCCTCAACCTGCTTCTCGAACTGAGCAGAGTAGATGATTTCTTCCTTCTCGCCGTCGACCTTCTGGATCTGCTTCTTGATCGAGTGGACCTCCTCAAGAGTAAGGCGCGAGCGCGTCTCAGTCTTCATGAGTTCCTGGCCGTTCATGTTGATGGTGTAGACGGAGACGACGACGACCTTCTGGATCTGCTCCTTCTCGATGACGTAAGTGTAGACGGTCATGGGTTGAATGTGCTTGCTCTGCTCCTCGCACTGTTCGCACTTGGATCCGAAGCGGAGGCCGTAGGCGGCTTCTGGGCGAGTAGTGCACTTGTCGAAGTTGACAGACTTGGTGACGATGGTCTTCTGTGACTCCTCGACGATGGTGTAAGACACCTCGCATTCTCCTTCGATGGTCTTCTCCATCTTGTTGAAGTGCTTGTCGTTGCTCTCGAGCTGTTCGGTTTCGAACTTCTCGTCCTTGTGCTGCTCAGTGTTCAGCTGCAGCATGTTCAGGACGGCGCGCTTGACATTCTTGGACCATTCCTGGTCTTCGTGGTCGAACTGGACGTCGGAGATGAGGCCGTTGCGAATGTGAGCACGAACAGGGAGCTCGAGAAGATCCTTGTGCTTGGGCTCAATTTCACGCTTCTCCAAGGAGTTCTGCGACGGGATTCCCTCGACTTCGGTTTCATGCGAAGCGCTGAGACGAATCTTGATCAGTTGGAGAGCGAGAGTGCGGTCGTCAACGGTCTGGAGACGAGCGAGGGCGTCGATGCGAGTTTGAGAGATTTCAGAAGAAGTGGTGGGAAGTCCGGCAAGGACGAGTCCCTCGAAGCGGTAGTGGTACTCGTTCTTGGGCTGGAAGGTGCGCTCAAATCGTGGGCTGGCGGCCAGAGCCAAAGCCACGAGGGCTGCGAAGACGAACGACTTCATGACTGGAGTGATTTTGCTCATGCAAGCCTCCTTTTTATATTACCTGAGGCCTCTGCGATTGACAGTTCACTTTTTGATTGAGCGGGGTCTTTTGCCTTATCAGTGATCAGAAGGTTGCAGGATTCACTAGTTCAAGTGACATTCAGGAGATTCGTGATGTTCAGAAATTATGTAATATTTTTACTAAGAGTGTTTTTTTGAATCGAAACATCAGTAGAACTAAAAAAACATTTCGCGTTTTCAAAGACAGTGAATTTAGTTGGAGAATGATTTTTTCGGAATTTCTTCACTGTTAAACATGTTTCAATCGATCTTCTCGATTTTGAAATTTGCTTTCAGATATATTTCACTTTTTAGCGCATAGAGCTTCTTTTAACTCAGTCAGTTGGAATTTATAAACGTTTTCCAAGTTATATTGTTCAGTTGAAAATTAAACTCAAGAAAAATTTGTTCATATAGTTTTTTTCTTCTTTCTTGGTGTGAAACGGTTGTCTAACAACTTGATTAAAATTCATTTCAATAGGTTTCAATTTTCAAAGTACGTGCTCCAGGTCATGATTGACGGGCGTTCAAAAAGATTACTTCTCCAGATACGATGATAAGTTTTCACTGAAACTGCATTATCGCTCCTTGGATTGACATTCAAAGTTATCTTTGCCTATCTAGGAACTTTCAAAGTTGTCATTCAGTAAGATAATCGCTGATGTCTTGAACTGGGGAAAAATGCTGAAATTTGCATATTTAGGCCTTTACTATTTCAGAGAGAGTAAAAACTACAACTGTTTTCATTTTTTAGCTTTGGATTTGTATTACTATCATATATCAGAAAGAAAAAACAACTCGATTCTGAAGCATATCCCAAATCGATTTGAACCCTTTTTCAATCATTTTTTTCCGGTTATTTAAAAAAACAAATTAGGGAAACTACTGATGAAAAAGTCACACAGTTTTTTTGTATATAAACGAATTTCAAGGGAGGTCATTTTTAGTTTGCGGCTGGGAATTTAATGAAGATCGGCCAGAACACTTCTTGATGTACCAGATAAACATTCAAAAAGTTTCAACCTGCCCAACTTCCAAGTTTCCAAAAAAAATAAGGCTCTAAAATCTTAAAATAGCCGTTTTTTATGGGTTTTGAGGATTTCCTTGACTTTGAGGCGTCTTTTCTAAAAAAAAAACCAATGATTTGTGTAGGTTGAGACTTTCAGATTCTTTTTCTGGTACATCAAGGGCCGTTCTGGCCAATTTTCAGGAAATTCCCAACCGCAAAGTGAAATCACTTCCCTTGTCAATGATTCTAACGTTGCTGTCGAAAAAGATGTTCATGATGAAATTTCTGCTCGAAAATTCATGGTAATTTGATAAAAAAATTTGATATTAAATTTTTCAATAGCTTTTTTTCATCATTCAAATTGACGAGCCTGAACTTTTTCTAATCAAAAGACTTTCAATGATCCAATGAATCTGCAATTTTCGAAATTTTGTATTTCAAACCTTCTCCCACAGAATACTTTACGTACCGAATAGTTTCGCAGAATTCTGATCCACAAAAAATGCACGGAGAACAAAAAGATGACAACAAAAGAACTTGACCTCGCATAATTAAGGTAATTAACCTGCATGGAACAATGGGCTCCGCGAGCACATCTTCTTATTATTTCTGTTTGGTGTGGGTTTTTCGTCCTCCACGGAGTCCGCGCACCTGTCCCATCCCATTGTACAAATACCCAGACTGTCCAGAGACGACAACGCTCCTCGTCTTCCCTGTCCAAAAACGCACCAAAATAAGGTCCTTCCTCCATTTGTTCCTTGTTTTTCCTGTACCTGATATCATGTCCCTCCTTATGTTTACACAGTTTTTACATTGCTTCAGAATGAGTCAACATTAATTTGTTTCTGATTCAGAATGGGTACGTTCCGCTTACTGCTCTGCTTGGTTTCCGCTTCAAGAGTCGTCTCTTGGACTGGAGAAGCTATTCGAAATCGTGAGTTTGTTAAAGAACCGGAAATTTTCTCAAAATAGTTCATAAAAGCATATCAAATTGAATAAAGTTCCCCTTTTTTTGAACACCAAGTTATTGGACTCATTTTTTTTTCTGAATCCAAGTTGAAAACGAAACTTTGAGGTTCGAAGACTTAAATTTCAACGTCTGACAAAAGTCCTTTTTTTTCCTTACTTCCCTCGTTCAAAGATCAGCCCTTTGTGCTAATAAATGAATGCTGAAATCTACGATTTCATTCGAAACATTTTTTTCATTGCACGAACTAAAAAAATTTTTTTTATGATAACATACGATACCGTCAGAAGAGATACGAAAAAACAACATTTCGGTCCTAACTTTCTTGTAAGGAATTCAATTTTTCTGAAACTTTCTGGAATTGTGATGACATCCATTTCTAACTCTCTGATGATGTTTCAGTTTACAAGAAAAACGCAGCTTCAGAAATTTTCAAGAAATTGAATCCCTTACGAGAAATTTGTGACTGAAATCGCCTTTTTTCGAATCTGTAACGGTACTGTATCTCGAAATCTTTTTCAAAAACACATGGAAATTCTCCTCTACAAAAATATTTGCGGTGCAGCAGTGGTCAGTTCTGTTTGAGGTGTGACCAGCGCTGCCTCGTGTTCTTTCCCGCCTCGAGTGTTATTCCTCTTGACACCAACTTTTTTCAGACCCTACGGATATTGTGGACAACCAAGCCTTCATTGTGGCTCGTTCTCCGCCGAAAAACGATTACATTCGTCCCTGTTACTTCACTAACTGGGCTCAGTACAGGTTAGCATAAAAAATCCAAAAACTTCATTTTTTAAACTTTTAGAAATGGAAGAGCAAAGTTTTTACCTGAGAATTACGTCACAGGCCTGTGCACTCACATTCTTTTTGCGTTCGGTTGGATGAACGAAGACTTCACAGTTAGGTATCAAATTGAAAAAAATTATACATCATAAAATGATTGAAGAGCTTATGATCCTGCCGACCTACCGAACGATTGGGCGGGAGAGGGAATGTACAAAAGAATCAACAAACTGAAAAACACTGATCCCAATCTCAAGACGCTTCTGTCGATTGGTGGTTGGAGTTTTGGAACTCGTCTTTTCCAGGTAATGATTTCAAAAAAAAGTCATCAATCTCAGGTTTTTTCTTCATTTCTAGTTGAAGTATTGATAATCTCATACATTTAATCATTTTAGTCAATGGCGAGCACATCAGCAGGACGGAAGACTTTCATCGACTCTGCCGCTAAATTCTCGAGAACTTGGGGTTTCGATGGTATCGATATCGATTGGGAATATCCAACAGGCGCTCAGGACACCGCCAACTATGCAAGTCTCATACAAGTGAGTTTGAAAGCAAGAAAATCTTCTCAGAAAGAAAAATCACCTAGGAAATGAGAAGCGCTTTCGAAGCTGAAGCGAAAATCAACAATAAACCAAGGCTTCTTCTGTCCGCTGCCGTTTCAGCCGGACAAGCAACTATTGACTCCGGTTATGATGTACCATCTCTCGCAAAGTGAAGACATGCCCAAGTTATTCAAAAACAGTGCTTTACAGGAACTTTGATTTTATCCTAGTGATGAGTTACGATTTCTTCGGCGCGTGGAGCACTTACGTTGGCCACAATTCTCCTTTGTATGCTTGGAGTGGCCTTCCTGATTCTGAAATCGTCTGGAATGTGGTTAGTTTACCGCTGATACTTTTCTCGAATCTTGAACACGGTTTTCAGGATTGGGCAGCCAAACACTGGGCTGATAAAGGAATGCCAAAAGAAAAAATCATTGTTGGAATCCCGACTTATGGAAGAGGTTAGCTATTATGAGAAACTGATTGAAAATCTTTTCAGGCTGGACTCTGACGAACACGAGCAACACTATGCCCGGAACACAAGGATCACCTGCCAAAATTACGCAATTTGTTCAGGAAGCTGGTGTTGGAGCGTACTTTGAGGTCATTCTGAAAAACACGAAATTTATTGAAAAGACGTTTTCAGTTCTGCGAAATGCTTGCATCTGGAGCTGTCCGACATTGGGATTCCGAGGCGCAGGTGCCTTATCTCGTCCAAGGAGATCAGTGGTGGTCCTACGATGATGTCGAATCAATCACTAATAAGGTGATTCTACATATTTAAAGAATAAACGCATATAACTGCGGCTTTTTCAGATGAATTGGCTGAAGAGAGAACAATTTGGTGGAGCTTTCGTTTGGACATTGGACTTTGATGATTTCAATGCCGAGTGCAGCAATTCCGACGGGCAGCTTTATCCTCTCATTAGTGTCATTGCCAAAGAGCTGGGAGGCATCACTATTCCAAAGGTACAGGGCGATCAATGGGTGAAAAAGGCATTTAATAAAAAGTGTGGTAACAGAAAAATGATGATCATTTTTTTTCCTGAGGCAGATAAAATCATTTTTCAAGTCCGCAACGGACTCTTCAATTTATGCTTTTTTCTTGATTTTCTGATAATTTTACCGATCTTATCTGCATTTTCTTTTCATTGAAATAGAAAAAATTTTAGCTGTTTTTTGCTACGAAAAATCCCTCTATTTCCTCAAAATTCAAGAAAACGTCTTCATCTGCCACCGGTTCGATCACTACCACGACTCCGATGGCGCCAGCCACCACCGGCAGAGGCTCCATGACTTCTACGACGGTACCAACGACGACTACAAAGGCCACCACAACCACAACTTCTGCACCTAACTCTCTCTGCTCAGGCCTTTTGGACGGATTCAATCCTCTAAAAGGCTCTTGCAGTGACTTCCTGCTGTGTTTGAGCGGTATGCTGCACAAAAATAGTCGCGTTTGATTTTCCCTGTTCAGGAAAGGCTTACACCTTAAGCTGTCCGTCAAATTTGTATTTCTCGGCGGCCAAGAAGTACTGCGTCCTACCGGCGAATTCCGGTTGCGTTTTGAGCACAACTGCCGCTCCAAAAACAACGACCAGAGCAACGACCACTACCAAAGCAGCGACGAGTTCGTTTTTTTCATGCTTTTTCGAAGATTTAATACCAAAAAAAAATCCATTTTTTTCTAAGTTTCTGCCTTATTTTAAGAATTGATTGGATCCTTTGAAGTTATCTAAACGTTGTTTAGAGTTCACATGCACCAAGGACGGATTTTTCGGGGACGTGAATGATTGCAACAAATTCATCCGCTGCGTCAACGGAGTCGCTTTCAATTTTGACTGCCCGAAAGGTGATACTTCAATAAACAAAAAAGAGACCATATTTTTTCCAGGTTTGACGTTCAACAGTCAGGAGGGAATGTGCGACAATCCCGACCCTTCGAAATGCGCAAAATGACTCGGAAAGCTTCCATTTTGATCCTACCAAGCACTACTCACCGCATTCCATTGTAATTAATTGATATGAGCACGGGCGATTGCGTACTTTCTTTTCTTCCGTATTTATTTTTATCCTTATTTTTAACCTATACTCAGTAAAACTGAATAAACACGCACAATAAATTTGACGAAACAAGAAAAACCAGTTTATTAAATCAAAAAAAGAAAACCCATGAAGAAGTGAGACCAGATATGCACCCGCTATTATCACAGGTTCAACTAGAAGACATCCCGATAGCATTGTAGACGTTGTAACAAAAAAATCAATAAAGAAAAAAACACATGATCATTTGTACAATAAAAACAAATAGATTAAAAAAATGACGCTTACGGTGAAGCTTCGTGCATCGAAAAATGCACAAATCTTTTTCCTGACCAAGCTCAGAGAGTCCAGACCAGGCATGTCGTTGGAGAAATTCCGAGCGACTTCCTGAAAAATAAGTAGGATTCAGGGACTAAAAATTTTGAGGTGAAGCTTTGAAAAAAAGTCGTCACCTTTTTTCTTTCATTTGAAAAAAATATATTTTCAGATTTTCGTATAAATTCTCAGTGGTTTTTTCGAATTATCTAAGCTAGCACTTTGTGAAAAATCAATCAGCCTACGAAAACTTCATCGATTTTTATTCATAAATACCCCGAAAAAATGGATACCTATTCTAGCACAATTTCTGACTGATTGAAACGGTAAATTCATTTTTTGTCCGTGCCCAATACTGATAGTAATCCTAGTTTGCTTTTTTTTTTTGACCCGGTACAAAAAACCAACCTGCGGAGTTTTTTCCCCCGTCTCTGGCAAAAAATTGTACGTGAAAAGAACGTAGATTGCATTCATCATCACAAAAGGAACAAGTACTTTTGCAGTTCCAATTTTGTTGACAGCAGTCAATAGGAAGTTTGTCAAAAGTCCTCCGAAAATATTCTGAAATCATCACAAAGCATGAGTTTTTGAAGATCCACCGGTTCGAACCTGTGTTATTCCAACCATGGCGGTTCCCAAGACCTTATCATTCGGGAGGAATAGTTCAGGAACGATTGCATAGGCGCTTTCGCCACTGATAGCCGCTACCGAAAGGTCGAGCGCCGCCAGGATGGGAAGAATCAAAGCGGTGGGAATTCCGAATGGCGAAGCTGAAGATTATTTTTAGTTTGATCACTTTTAATCTTTTATGTCTTTTGGGAAATGAATCATCTTTTGGAAGAAGAATTTTTTGATAGTATAGTTTGAGAGCAAAATGCAAGGACGAGAAGTTGTTGAGAAAATTTTCTACATGCTGAATTGCAAATCAAACAAATTTATACTGTCTTAAGCCAGCGATGAAAAAATGTGTTTTTTTATTTGTGCGTTTTCGAAAAATTTTTGTCATTTCTTCAAAGTAAGGACTCATTATCTTATTCACCTTGGTATGAAAAAAAAGCGAGCGAATTTTTGAACAACGACTTTTTCAATTTTATAATATTGCCAGGCAACTTTCCGCCACCTTTTTCCGACGAATCCTTTTCCGATTTTTTTCCTTTGTGTATCTCGGTTTATAAAATAACTATTAACATTTTTTTCTATTTCTTTTTGTTTCGATCATGAATAACTTGCCTACTTTATATAGGAAAATTCAAAACAAAGAGTTCATCGAGAAAAAAGTCGGAAACTTCTCCGTAGGAGTTCCCTAACGATATGAAAAAATCGGAAAAAGTAGCCGTTTTGCTGGTCTTTTTTCATAACACCTAAAATGAACTTCAAAACTTTCGGAAACCTGAAGAAAACGACGTGAAAAATATTGCAACGGCCCCGAATGCGACGCTGAACATGGTTGGGATAATCAAAAGAGTCCGTCGACGAAAATTGTCAAAAAAGCTGAAAAGAGCCATGATGTCATATTTTTCTCCAATTCTAGAATTACAAACCCCAGAAGAGCAACGCTGATGATTGCTTGTGGAAGAGACATCAAGAGAGAGGCTCTCTGGGCTTTTCCCGCCGAGAGGCCATTATTTTCGAAGATATGCGTCGAGTAGGATATCCACAGCTGTTAATCAGACATTCTCAAGCTGCTGACAGGAAAAAGAACGAACCCAGTCGTCGAGATGAACGAAACTTTGCACAAACAGAGCGATGATTAATGGCCGAGAGAACTGTCCGTCCTTAACATTTTTCCAGGTCACTTCCTGCTTTCATTCTTCAATAAACGCCTACTTTCAGCCTTTGGACGATGGTTTTCAATACAAATTTCTCAGATTTTTCAACTTTGCTCGCATTCCCGTTTTCATCGATACATTTGTCTTTTAGAAGCTGAAAACCGTTGAATTTATTTTTTTGCTACAAAATTCTTACGATTTGTGCTTCGCCCATTATTTCTTCCAGAGATTGCTTCCCATCTGATGGATTCTGAAGTCCTATTGGTATCAGAATTTGCGAAAATTACAACTTACTTGATAGTACGACATGGCCTTTCTTGCTTCAAACTCTCTGTTCGTCAAATATAGGTACCTGAAAAACTTTTTTTTGGAGGCGGATTGTAGAAAAGGCAGATTAGAAGATCAAATGAATCTCGCTTCAGAAAAAAAATTTCTTTTTTGGATTTTCCGATGACATCCGGTTACTTTTGAAATTCGAATTTTTTTTTTAATGATCATAAACTTTAAAATTTTCCTTTTTTTCAAATCAAGAGCTCAAACAACATAAAGGAAATTTTGTTTTTTCAGCTCTCTTTCGAAAAAAATTTCATTTTTTTTTAAATTGAAACCTTGGAGATTCTGGGGCCTTCAGAAGAATGTAGAGCGCTGGAATAAGAAAGAGCAATGGAACTCCCATGGCGAGTTGCCAAGTCGCCGGCTTTCCCAAAATGTCGTCCAATGATATGAACATCCCTCCCAACTCGCCAACACAAGCCCACATTGTCTGAAAAATTTCAGTAAAAATGGATTGAAAGTAGTTGATTTTCCTACCAAACTAGCCAGTGCTGTCCCTCGTTTTTTCAACGGCGGCAACTCGGCCAACATCGCTGACCCGACCGTCTAAAATTTGCATTTTCGATTTTTGAGTGACACCTTTTTTATCTGTTTTGCTTGGGTTTAACGATTTTTTGTTTTTAATTTTTTGATTTTTTTTTTATTGTTTGGAGGAAAGCTCAAATTTCTCTTACCGATGAGGTCATAGAGACATTAAAAAAACGTTGAAGAACATGGACGTTTTTGTAGTTGAGCCTTAGTAACCTATTCGTTAATTTTTTTAGCCTGAAACCTAGTAGTACACGAACCCCTGAGGTTTAATTATACTAATAAATAATTGATCCAATATTTTTATAAGCATTCACTATCTTATCGAAATCGAAAATTCCTCCAAACCCAGTATCCAAATATCAGAAAAAGCCGTATTTGGTTAGTACCTGAACAATTCCTTGGCCCACTCCATTGATAAACCTTCCAAATATGGCAAAAATGACACCCGATGGCACATATGTTGTTAATAACGTCAGGGCAATTCCAATAACATCCAATATTGTGCCTGAACATGACAGGAAAGAAGTTTTCATCATGTCTCAAATCTTCAGACTCACCGATGACGACTGGAATTTTTCGACCGCTTTTTTGTGATATGAGCATGGATATAAGGCATCCGGCAGCTAGTCCGTAGATCCTCGAAGAAATCATTACTTCCCACGCCATTTCAGCTGAAAATGAAGTGGTTTGTTTGAAGTTCTCCTATTAGAGAGCCACGAGAAGTAAAGAGAGGATTGAATCGAATTTTCGGAAAAAAAAAACAGAGTACTTGGAAAAAGTATCTCGATTTACTTTCTGAATGACTTCACGTGGTTTCATGATAACTTTTTTCCATTCAAACCGTCTTCTTTATTTCGATATACGGAGAGAAAAAAGGGCATCGCGGCTGGAAGCAAATTATCGACGACGCTGTCCAAGAACAGCTATAAAACGGATTGGATTCTCGGTTTTCTCTTGACCAAATTCACCAGAAAATGACTCGCGGCCCCAATGCTTAACACCACGAGAGCAAGTCGCAATGAAGGTGATCCAGGTGGGCAAACATTTGCCAGGCGTGGAATTCTTATCGTCACATCGCCTGCTTTCATGTCCTGAAAATGGCTGCAACTTTTATTTATACTTTCGAACTCGAGATCATAAAGTAGTGAGATGGAATTGCAACTGATGTCAGCTGGAACGGAAAGACAGCAAAAAATTTGATAAGGAATGTGAGGAATAATCAGAAAAAGTTGTAATCTCCTGACGCGTTTCGTTAAGAGTCGACGCCCTGTTGCGGAGCACTAAACGACAAGCAATTCCACGCAAATTTGTGTCGACGTGCCACTTTGGGGAAATCGTTGAATTTGGCGCCAGTTGACACGAAGATTTGTGGGAGCGTTTTCTGGTTAGCTGTGAGTGGTTCAAAGTGGAGCACCGTTCAAAAAAGCCAGAGGAGTGTTCTGACTCCCGAAATGGAGTTGAGGCTGAAGCAGTAGGAAGACTTGGAAGCGTAAATGAGAGGCAATGGAAGAAGGGAGGACGATGGCAAAAGGAAAGATTTAATGAAACGGCACGAGACTGCGTATGTATGAACAAACAGAGGGATTCTGCATCTTTGGATTTTTTTTTTCTGTTTGGAGAAATCCACGGAATTTGAATGGAATGGTGCCAATGGACGTGGGAAGTTGAACGTTTTGTAGTTTGAAGAAAGGAGTTAGAAGGAACCAAACCATAAAAAAACAACTGAAAAGGATCAATTATTTTTAGCCTTCGCCTTTTCGAAATCCAATCACAGTTGGGAGAGATAATTTAAAAACACAAAAACCATTAGTTTCCCTCTGACCACTCAAAGCGGCTTTTTTTGGTTCCTTGATTTTTTTCAATGAAAGTTGAAAATTTTTCAGTTTTGAGCTTTCAAAGCTCTCATCAAAAAAATATTGAAAAAAATGAAAAACCAAGCAAAAAAATGGAACTCTATTTTTTTGTTTCTATAAAAAGGCTCGACTTTAAAAAAGAAAAATTTTAAGTTTCTTAAAGCAAGCATCCCGTAATTTAAAGATTTCGAGTTTGCTGGACTGTAGTTCGGGATGAAGACACCGAACCTTCCGAAAAACAGGATTAAAGGTTCGTAAAAAAAACATTACGAGGTGATCTCACTATCTCTAGTCGAGATCAGACGAATTTCGACGTCGGTGTTCTCGAAAGCAAAGAATGGAACGCGTGACGAATAGGTAGAGCGACAAAAGAGAAGCAAAAAGGAAAAATAATAAAACATTGCCATAAAAAACGAAATGGAGGCAGCGACGGGAGCGCGAAGGCTACCTGAGCACGCAAAGTTTCCTCAGTTTTTGGGCAAGGCCGAGCGAAGCGACCAACCAACAAACCAGCGAAAGGCAATGGCTATGGCTAGGGAGGCTGATCCATGATTGAGATTACATCCGCGCAGTGTTCAAGAATTTCTCAAACGATTTCGAACTGCCGCCTCTTTGGAAATTAAGCGTCCGAAAGCCCAAGTGGCCGTCGGCCGCCGCACTTTTTTCCCGTCACTCGTTCTTTTTTTTGGCGGTGGTAAGTAAGAGGTTTTCGGTCGAAATCTATCACCCGAGGTCTGAAAATAGATGGCGAGAGAAATCCGTCGATCCTTTTCTGGTTAGTGTCTGTAGTATGATTTGATGGATTGGAAGCTTTCAGAAAAGAGTTTCATTTTGAAAAACCGCCGTCTTTATCATTATTCTCAAATAGTTTTTGGAAGGCTTGTTTCTGGAAGAAAGGTGTTTTTTCTGAGAGGTTGAAAGAGTAATTAGTCTCTGTTCTTTACAGACAAAAATGAACAAAACAGGCAGCGAAATCAAGTTTATAAAAATGAATAACTGCGAAGAAGTCGGAAAATTTGGGTTCTTTCCACATTCCTTTGCCAACTTTCATTAAAATTTTCTTATCAGGAGGATAAAATAGGAAACCTAAAAAAATTGACTCAAAAAGAAAATATTTCAATCAACAATCTGCTTTATTTCAGTCATCGTACCCTGGAACAAAATTTATCATTAAGATTTATTCTATCATTTTTCGCTTTTCTTGCTAATATTGCAGAAACCTTGTCGTTAGTACTCTCAAGCCAGGAATAAAAAAAGTTTAAGGATCACTTGATTTGAGTTCGGGACAAAAAAACAAAGTAGAAAGGGGGTTTTTCCGAGTCCTGGTGAATGAAAAATTGCTTCTATTTAAAGTTCACATTGAGTTCTTCTCATGCTGTTCTGAACGATTTTTGATCAAACTAAATTTATTTATTGGATCTTTAGAAAAATTGATATGGCTTAAAAAAAGTTCTGACTTTTTCCTCAATAGAGATATCCTTCTCGATTTCTGTTGTTTGAATATATCTCTTCCAATAACCTCATTTCGTAAAGAGCATTTTTCGCAAAATGGTCGGTTCAATCTGAACGAAGTCGGACAAAAAGCAGAACAGAAGGAAAGAAAAGAGAAAAAAAAACTGAAAAACTACAAAGTGAGAAAATATTATAACAAATGGCGACTATTGAAATGGATGCTAGGGAAAAGAAGAGTTGGTTTAAATCAACGGACGAGGCAGCGTTTGTTTACTTTCAGCTGAAAATCGAGAAAATGCGGAAGCTAATTACAAACGACAAATCTTCCAAAAAGAGTTGTGAATTGGATCCGTTTTCGAACAGTACGCAGAGATCACGGTTTTGTCCATTATCCGGCTCACGTGGGCTTTGAGTCTCACTCACAATGAAAACCCACCTGTTCCCTCACAATTGGCAATAGGTGTTGAACTTTTGTGATTTTTTTGACATCAGAAATCAAAAAGATTTTTTGTTGGTATTTCCCACACTCCTTTTTTTTGTGTTCTTCTGAGAAATTCCGAAATTTTTCTTCTTTTCAGATTGCGGCTAAGAGAATGCTTGTGATTGTTCGATTTAAATTTTTTTCTTTTCAAATTCTCCGGTTTCCTATTCTTTTGTTCTCGCTTTCACAGTACTGTCATAAAAGATACGAAAAAACGGGGGCTCGCTTACGATTTTCTTGTAAGGAATTCAAACTTTCTGAAACTTTCTGGAGTTGCGATGACTGTTATTTTTAACACTTTTACAGTTCCAGTTTACAGAAAAAAAAAGCTTCAGAAACTTTCAGGAATATTCCTTACAAGAAAGTTATGACCGAAACCACGTTTTTCAAATCTTTTCTGACAGTACTGTACATCTAAAACCTTCTCTGAGTCGTTCGATTTCATTTTATTCATTTTTTTGATTAAGTTTCAAATACGATTGGTCACTCAGTTGCTCTATTGAGAGATTCTTGCTGCTTTCAAAACTCCTCGGACCTTGGTAACGCAAATCTGACGTATCGGGGCATTTCTAGTGACAACTTTAGTAGCCTCAGCACTCTTTAGTGATCCCTAGAGTCGCCCAGAAACGTCCGGAGCACGAGTCGTAAAAGTCCATCTTCTGTTGAGTCGAGAAATAATAGTTTTTTCAGTACTTCTTAACAACCAACATCAAATCAGTCAAATGATTTATTTTGTTGTTTTTAGTAATAGATGTACTCAACTAGGCGGGAACATGATTGTGTTTTCAAAAAGATTTTTTGAACGCTATCTACACTATCATCAAGCCTAGAACCTTATTTCCGATGGCAAATGAAGGTTCATTAGACAACTTCTCGGTAAGAAGTTACGGGTTTATCGGCTCAATGCCCACTGTCTTGCGTAGATGTTTGGTATCAGTCAGATCAACCTCGAAGATAGCAGGTGGACATGGTGTTTGTGATGAGATAAAGGATAGCGGCGGAGGAGCGTCAGGTGCAGAGTCCTTCCTGCAAGTTGTTCGCTGGTGATTTGAAGTCATTTACCGTGGACAAGCAATAAATTCGCTTTTTTCCGCCGTCGACTGATCTCGCCACAAGAATTACACAGCCACTTCTTATCCGAGAGCCCTCACATGTTTGTCAGTATTTTCGTCGTGGAGTTCTCTGTTTCTGTCAACTTCAAGAAGTTGATAGGAATTTTCGGAAGAGGTTTTGAGGAAAAATATTTTTCTTTAGACTTTTCTTAAATAAAATTTTAATTTTCTCACCCATTATAAGTTGAATAAACCCACAAATTGTCGTGTTTATTAATGCGAAAAGTGCAAACAAATGACGTAGGAAAAATTTTTCAAAACTCACTGCTTTTTTTACTTTTTTTTTTATTTTTTAGCTTGAGGCAACATTTATCAAAGCCTTCGCAGCGTTTTTTTTGTCCTGCAGATATTTTGATTTTTTTGTCTTTGTTTTTCTCGAATCTCCCATTTTTTTGTTGTTGGCCCTTTTTTTCAACAGAAGAATGTCTCTTTCCTTGTACCTTAAATTCGTGATCAAACCGTCTTCTCAGTCCTTTTTTTGGAAAATATTCATTCTCTCTCTCCATATTTTTTCACGAATAAAAAATCTTGTGATCCTCAAACAAAATAATCACACAAACATAAAATTTTATGAGGAAGGAAAAAATCGCTTTAGCAAAACCATTTCACCGTTTTCTGAAATTTGAAAAAAAAAACATAAAACAGCAAAGTTGCGTAGCACTCCATTTTCTATTTTCAAACATTTTTATCAATTTCACCTGAAACAAAAATTAATTGACCAAGCTTTTTTCAAACAAAATTTCATACGCAAAATTTTTTTCTTGTTCATATTTCTGTTCGAACTCATCCAAAACGACGTCATTGTTCAAAAAGTCATTGCAGATCTATGGATTGGAAAGAGATAGTATTCCTTCTCATCTCAGCATGTGGCCTCTTCGCTGACCTTGCCCTAGGCTCAAGTGAACTTCTGATGGTGCAAACAGTAAGTAATATATTCAAAAAGTTTTCACTCTGACCGGATTCAAGGTTTTCCGTCATGGCCGCCGAGCACCGGCCACTCAGTTTGCAACCGACGAAGCCAAAACGTTTTTCTTCCGCGGCCTTGGCCACTTGACCGATGTTTAATTAGTTTCTGAACGTTTGACTGTTTTTTTTCTTGCAGGAAGGCTACCTTCAAGCGGAATTTCTCGGGAAACTACTGCGAGAACGATACGTCAACAATTCTTTTCTAGACGGACGCATGCTGCCAAATCAAGTACTGTAAACGAAAAAAATTCAAGTTTAAAAGTTTGAAAAAAAAGTTTGTTAGGGAAACATCTTTGGAGTCTTAAAAACTTTTTATTTTTGAACAGATGTCTCCTAGACCTTCTATCCGTATGCCTCAATAATTCTTGAAACTAAGATTCTGTTCCGAAGTAGCGACGCTGAAAGATGTTTGATAACGGCGCAAATGGTTGGACGAGGAATGTTCCCGAATTTCGCCCCAGCAGTTTTTACGACCCCTGAAGAAGACGATTATGTAGGAAAACTATCGATTCTACAATGAATGATTTTTTTAAAGCTTCTCCGACCAAAATTAAACTGCCCTGGAATGATAGCTGAAATGCAAAGAGCATTTGATGTGGATTCTTCCCAACTGGAGAACCAAGAACTTCCGCTCGTAAAAATATATTGATTAATTCGAGTTTTAAGCAAAATTCAGCTTGTTTTCACGGGAAAAGCAATGGAAGCAGCTTACAACCAGACAAAAAGTATTCGTCAAGAGTTCACGTCCAAAATAACTTCTCTTATAATTGAGGTTTTTATTTTCAAAAAAACGAAGTTTTTAAAGAACGCTTAGAAAGAAGCTGGAGTCGCAGTTCCTTCCTGGTTCAACGAAGAAGCTTCGAAAGAAGCCTACCTTCTTCTTTACCACGTATGCGAGAAACTTATTCGATGATACAGATTATATTTAGGCGATATCTGTTATGAGTGGAACTGGACCATACAAAAGAGCTTCGTGGATAAAACCGAAATCTGGATTTTTCTTGAACACTTTGATGTTTGACATACGGCAAAAAGTCGAGTGTTTGAAAAACCCTTCTTTGAAACAGTGCGGAAAAATCCGCAAGTTTTATGCATACAGCACGGTAAAATTTTATGACGGAACTATTTTCCACTTCATGCTTATTCAGCACGATATCGTGCTCATGCCTCTGCTCGAGTCGCTTGGAGCAAGGGAAGCTGCGGTTGGTGTGAATGCCGTCACAGATTACTGTTCCACACTTGTGATCGAATTATGGCTCATCAACGATCATCCGGCAGTAAAGGTAAGGAGAATAGTTTCTTTTCAAGAAGTTTGAACTTCGTTGAAGGTTCTGTACCGCAGAAGTCCCGATGATGAAGAGTTCACAACTGTAACTGAATACATTACTGGATGCCCTGCCGGTGAACAATTCTGCAATGCAGAAAAGTTCACATCCTGTTGTGATGAGTTCATCACTACATCTCCCAAAGCGGAGTGCTGGGTGAGTTTCGGAAAAGAAAATCTTGACGGGAAAGAATTTCAGGGCGCTCCGTTAGATTGGAACTTCAACGGTACGTTTGCAATTTTCCAGTTTTAAACAAGTTGGAAGTTTTGGATAGCTTTTGACTTGATTCAAATATTTTTAAGAGTGATCTCTTTGAAAAATATTCTCATACTCTTTTGTGAAAAAGAAGAACTTCTACTCGTTCACCAAAAAGTCGTGAATCCTCATAGTTTTTTTTTAAATTTCATGAGCGACAAAGGAGTTCCAAACTGGATTATTTCAATCAAAGTTTGTTAATCTTTAGCTTCAAACAAAAATTGTGTCAAAAAAGATTCTAACACCTCTATGGGATTTTTCTATTAATCTATCGAATATTCCTTGAACCCCTTTTTTACAGCACTCAGCTACCTTCTGGTCGGAGTCATAGCCTTACTCATCGTCCTTTCAATCTTCCTTGTTTGGAAAAGTATCAGAAGGAGGAACACCAGCAAAGTCGAAAAAAACGTGAAATAATATTTTTCATTAAGTAGCAAAGAAGATAAGCAGTTGGCACCATTTTATAAACAATCACGCACATCAACAAATGCAATTCCCTCGTATTTGCTTTCATCAACAAGGGTATCCTCTAACAAAATTCGTCCGCCAATAGAAAATACAGTAATGTAAGTTGCAAAATGTTTGTCTCCGTCATTTTTTGGCCTTTCAATTGTTTTCAGTGCCGCGATGATTGTGTCGTTTGTTCCTGAAATATCTGTATTTGTTATATTATTTTTGATGATATTGTTAATGAATTTCATGACGAATTTGCTTGATTTTTCTGACTTGCCTGGAACAAACTGAAATGCGCTGAAGCCTTTGTGAGGGTCCAACTTGCCAATTCTTGTCACGTTGAAGTCGCAAAAACAGTCTGACGAGCTAATCAAATAATTACAACCTAAAATCTTAAAAATTAGGAGCCAAAAAAAGGTCATCACCTGAATCGGCAACCGTTTCATGTGTGTATGGCGCTTTTGAAGCATACCTTGGTAAGAAAAACCATCTCTGAAGAAAATACTTTTATTTTCTTGATCCTTTCCACTCACTTTATGATACTCTGACCACTGAACAGCCTCGTGAACCATAAATCCAGGAAAGTAGATTCCAACAGACATGCGGAGTTTCACAAAATAAGGAGTCCAATCTTCGACCTTCATTGCTCCGTTCGCTGATATTACCTTCAATTTTTAAAGTTGATTAGTTAAAAACTTAAAATAACCCTAATGAACATTTGATCGTCATTCTCGAATTCTCCCTTTTCACTGACTATTTCGTGCCCGCTGCTTCCCAGGAACAAATCGCCATCCCTTACTGTCATCCATTCACCTTTGAAAGCTGAAAATGATAGGTTTTTCAGAAAATAGACTGATTTCTTGAAAAACTTTTCTAGGTATTTTGTGGCCACAGACCTTATAAGAAAAGACATTTTGTTTTTATCATGCGTCATTTTGAAAACGGGCCAGAAAGATCTGTTTTTCTGATAAGATCATAAATGCCTTAGACAACCGAAAATCTGTACAGTACTGACCATAAAGGTATTTCAAAATGGTTTTCTGAGCATAACTTCTTTGAATGTGGTTCAAATGTCTTGAAACTTTGCACACATTTTAAATATCTTTGCAATAAATTATTTTTACAAGCAGAGCTCATTTGCTCAAGCCAAACTAGAATTATGAGCAAAAAACTGAAAATCGAAAAATATTAGGTTGGCATGAAAGAAATGCGGCTCGTTTTTGTCGGCTTCTAATTCATCCAAGAAGCAATATTATTTGGAACGGTATTTTTTGTCGAAAAGGGCTTGTCCTTGTGCGTCATTGAATATATAACTTGCTGACGTTCTTTCCGCCTTTCTATAAGAAAAATAGCTCTGAAAACTTCCTTTCAAAAACTGTATTCGCAGACCTAGTTTTCGCGTTATTTCAAAAAGTACAAATCAAATTCAGAAGCTTGGCACCTTTCAATATTAGGATCACCAATGATGCTTTTTTCTGATAGTTAACATTTTGAATTGCTTTAGCGCTATTCACTAGGCGAAAAGACCTTTGAAATCAAAAAACACGAAAAAATCGACGATAAAGGCGATTTTAAAATGCCATTAGACTGGATCCACAACAGACACCTGTGAAACTGGCTCATCAGTTATTACACACCCATATCTGCAAGAGAAAAAAGTTTTATTACGCAACGGAGTGCAAAAAATGAGAAATGAAAAATGGCTTCACAATATCGCTTTTTAGTTTTTTGCGAAAATGTGTTAGCCCAAAATCAGAAAAATTGTTCTGCAAATTTCTGCTTTTCCTGCTACAATGCTCAGACATGGCTTTTCGCATTTATCATCTGTCCGAATCATTGGATCGCTTAACAGCCAAAAAAATTTGAAAAACTCTGATGAAGTCCAAATTCGGGGGTGCAACTTCTTTGGCTCGTAGGCGGCCCAGTTTGACAGAGAAAGTATCCATTCTCTGCGTGAGCATTATTGACAAGGTGCTAATACAGATAGAAATTACATTTCGAATTGATTTGTGATAACCTTGTTTTTTTATGATAAAATTAAATGACATCAAAAACGCGCATTTCTTTCCTGCCACCCTAATAAAACTTTTTTTGTTCAGGTTTGAAAAATCATATTTCCCAAGTGACTTTGAGTTTCAACCTTAAATTTTTTTTTCCTTATTAAACAAGTCTTTGGTTTTTCAAAAAACCTAATCAGACCCCTACCACTCCAATATTAAGAGCGCAGCAACTTTTTCTTCGGAAGGCCCTCGCTTTTTGAGGCCTCATCATTCAAACGGACTATACGTGGTCGATTTGGTTTGAAGACACTGCTTTCTTTGTTCAAAAGCAGGTATCTCATGTCAAAAAATCAAAAATAGGTATCTCAAATCAAAAAAAAAATCAGATGATGGTTCAAGGGCTCTTGGACATTATACGGATTTTTATTAGGAATCTGGGGGATTCAGGCTGAATTTCTGGAAAAGTATCAAGTAAAGGAGACAAAATTTCATGCTTTGAATAATAAATTATTCTAATTTTTTGAGTTCATATTGATAAGTTACATGATAAGGGTTTAAAGCGCTCAAAAACCCAACAAAATTTTCATATTAAAGTAGAGAAACTCACGTGTGCTCTTAGTACCATCACCAGTTGACGTTATTACCCAAGGAACCAGGCTTCCGTTTCGGATCCTAAGAAATTAGATCAGAATAAATCAACTTTTCTTAAATTTACCAGTAGACGATTCCAAGTTTGTCGTCAACTGATAACAGACGGTTGTCGAAAACTTTCAAATCACTCATTTCCATCGCCCTTCCGTTGTAATTCAAGGAGGAAGTGATGTTATCAGAACCTAGCCAGTGTACAAAGGAAGAAGATCTGCTCTAAAATTGTGAATTTCAAATTGAAGGAGAAAAAAGGTACTACACTGTCAATTGCGAGGTTTCCATACTTGATCGAGCTGTACCAGGAAGTGCTGTCTTTACTTTTGCTGTCATGATCGCTGACGATGGCTAGAGGTAGTAATAACGCCCCAGATTCGGATTGAGGACTTGCCGTCTCGCAAATTCCTGAAAAAGTTTTTTTTTGATAAGATGTTCGAGTTTTGGAGAGATTGAAAAGTATCAGCTGGATCAAGATTAGATCTGAATCGACCTTCGAGCTCATACTTATCAATTGGGAAAAGTGAAAATCGTGGTCCCGTTAATCGTAACACATAGTTGAATCCGAAAAAAAAGCGTCTCCTTCTTCAAAACTCTTCCAAAGGAAAAAATGTTCTGTAACTTGAAAAATAAATTTGAAATAATTGTCAGGTCGAGTTTTTTGCGTACGACTTCTTACTAGATATTGAAAACAACAGAAGAAAGCGTAGGTTTTTTTTCATTAAAAAAAAGTCCGTGATAATATTGGAACATACTATGAACAGCTTGGGCGATGTTGAAAAAAAGAAGCAGCAGCAAAGCAGCAGACGTGAGCATCACACAAACCCGACTGAGGAGGAGAGGAAAGCCAAAAGCAAAAAAATGGCTTTTTGTGTCTAACAAGCTTTTTTTGCAGAAAATGAATGTCGGGTACGCTGAAGACGTTCCACCAAACAAAGAAAGTTTGTGGAAGAATAAGTAGGTACGCGGAGATTCCTAACAGCCCAAAGATCGTTAGAGAGCACTTGGGACCTCTTAAGTGCTCCCTAATAAGTCGTTCACAGTTTTCGCAGTAGTGATTGGTCAGAGACGGTCTGAAAGACAAGAGTGCATCCTCAACAAATCATATCACACTTCCTGTGACTTTTCCGCGTCGTGCAGTGGCCCTTAGAGAAAAAAAAAACAAACATCGCAAACTTTGGACGCTGACCTCTTTTCAAGTCTCTCGGCGAGAAATAATCTACTGTTTGGGCAAGAGATGGTGGGATTTCAAAAGGATCAGAGCACAAGGGTGACGATCAAAAGTTGAAATCGCTTCGGGACCCGTTTTTTTTTTTTCAACTCAGCCGATTCCTTCCTACCTAGTTTTAAGAATTATTTTTGGCTCGTACTGAAACTTTTTATTCACGGTTAGTACGGTGAGAAATTTTCGATGTTCGCCTTGAAAAACGTTTAGAACTTCGTTCAAAGTTTCAAAGTCCCCCAGGCGTATTTATATTTTTTTATAATGGTTTGAAATTATTTTTTTGAAGATCATTTTTCAGTGTTAACGACTTTCATTTTTTTCCCTTCAGTCGAGCTTCGTTTGAAAAAAATTATAATGGTAACGACGCCAATATAAACTTGAAAAAAATTCTGCTTTCGAAATTTTTTTGGATATCCTTTTAAAAAAACAACCATTTCAATAATTTTCTTGATTTTCCATAGAGATTCAACTTTTATATAAATTTTAAAGCCATTTAACTGGTTTATTTTATCAGGAATAATATTGAAAGTGGAAAGTTTTTATTTTAAAACATGACAGAAAAAGGCAATTATAAATAAAAAAATTGAAATTTTTTTCAAACTCTTGGCATATAAATCTTCTTTTTTTCCATCACTCAAATAATTTTTCAACATGAATCTCTTATTTATAATAATTAGAACAAAATTATCTTTTTCCGAGGAGTAGACTTTTGGCGCGTGGTTCTGCATTCGCGATGGCGCGCAAATTCCTCAATATTCGGGTGTGAGAACCTTTTTGTCGTTTTTATTATACATTTCGTCCAACTTTTTCAAGATGATCCTTCTCAAATTTTCAGTCGATGAGCCATGCTCATGATTTGATCGAATCTTTGGTGAAAGAATATTTGGCCCAAAGAGCGTTCTCACAAAGTTTCAACGCTTTCACAGATGAAATCGCTAAGGCCAAAGATGGAAAGCTACAGGTTTTTTTTGAGTTTTTTTAAAGTGATTTAAGTATTTTTTTCATCTTTCAGATCGACAAGTTTATTGAAGAGATGTTCGATGCGATCGAAAAAACGGATGTCGACAGATTGTGTTGTATGTGGGAAACATGGCAGAGCAAAGTTTTTAACTCCTTGAGCCGGGTCCGGTCTTTATTTTTTCTTTAAAGTATTTCTATTTTGCAGGAAAGTATAAAGATAGCGAATCAATATGAAGCCAATGCTTATCGAATGCTTTTGGTGAAATGTGTACAGAATAATGATCTGGCTACCTGCAATAAATTTTTCAACAAAATGTCTTCTGTAACTTTGAACAATCCACAGTGGACCGAGTGGTACAGTTCGTTTTTTCTTCTTTTTCTAAAATTTTTATAATGCCATTTTCAGCGTTTCCGTACAATCCTCACGCACGTGAGATGGAGCCTTTCAAACGATATTACGACAAGCAGTGGCGCGAAGTCTTCGCCATATCTCTGCACAATTTTCTGTCAATTTCTCTGGCTTCCCCTTCATATTCGTCCCTATCAGCCATTGTCGAAACGCTTTCGCGAGAATATACTGAGGTTCTTATACATTTTAAATTTTTTCCAAGTACGGAAAAACTTGACACTTGATTTTTAAACATGTTTCGCGCTTATGTTTTATTTTTCGTAGGTAAACTTATACTGGCTTGTTGTTTTTTACTACTACAAATAATTGAAATCGAATTCTGGATACTGTAAAGTTCTAGTTTCAATGCAATTTTCAGTCAGGGCAGTCTTTCAAAAATTGTTAATGTGCCTAGCTGTATGATTTAATTGAATCTAATGAATCCTCATTTATCTAAATAAACTTTGACTGGCCCTTGAATTCATAAATTTTTTCAGATGTCATCCTCTAGACTGGAATTTGATGAGGAATTGATGGACGATTTTGCAGTAATTGCTCAGTGAGTTTTTTTTTAAATGGGTAAAAATTCTTTAATGGTAAAGAGAGTAAAAATCAACAGACAAAGTTCGTTACAGATTCTTTCACTGCACTTTTTTTTGGATATTTTTTTGATTTTCGATTTGAAAACATTTCTTTTTTTCGGCCATTAAGCTGAACATACTTTTTAGCAGTGCGAAGAAATTTAGGAGTTTCATTAAAGTTCGAGTTGAAAAAATGTAGAAAGTTATACAAACGGTAATTATTTGAAAAGTTGTGGAAAAAAAGTTTAAAAATAAGTTCAAAAATGAAGTTTAAGCGCTCCTCACTTCAATCCTGAATAATTTTTGTTTCAATTCTGCCCGCTAATTGTTTTAATACTCAAATAAACTCTCTGAAGTATTTGAAACGCTACAATTTAATTACGAGAAATTTTGAAACTTGATAAAACAAAAGTTTTTTCAAACTGTCGTACACATTTTTCTGTTTCGCCCCTTATAAACTCAATTGTTTTGAACCCCAAGAATTTTCATGGCTTTTTTCTTTTCATTCTTGTTTTTCGCGTCGATACTAATCCAATTAGAGAACTATACTTACAGATGCACATCGCCAATCAAAGTGGCACAATCGAAGACGTCTCTGAAAAGCCTATTCAAGTCATTTGGGAAAAAGCAGCAGTCCGACTAGCCCGCACCCTTTGCATACTTCATATCCGTGCCTTCCCTATTATTTTTATTTTGTTCATAGGAATGAGTTATGAAAGAAACAGAAGCAGAAACAAAATTATTTCAATTTGTTCAAGTTTCTAGGCTTTACTGTTTCCGTAGCCATCTATCTATGTATAGTTTTTATGTTTATCAAACGTAAATTTCGAATAACGAAACAAAACATTTTAAAAATGTGATACTGAATAAGCCAATCTCAAAACGTCGCGAAACAATGATTTTCACTTATAATTGTATTTCAATACTTGTAAGTGAATATTTCGGGTTTTATTATTGTGATAAATCCTTTTTTTATTTTTAATGAAGAGATTATGCGTAACTTTGAAAAACTGTTCCAAATTTAGTTTTTTTACAATTCAATTAAATCTTGAAGCGGAAATCATATAAAATCGTTTTTGAATTCGATTCGCATTGACCATTGCATTACTGAAATCCATTAAATGTTTTTATTTGGGATGTTTTTAATGGAATATTAAATAATAAAGGCCCGGTTTATAAGAAAAAAATATTATAAAAAAACTCGCTCGAAAATAATTTTTTTCAGCTGAACGAAAAACACGGAGGATAGACATAGACATAAAAATGAACGCGGATTTGTACTCACTTGGAACTCACCAAGAAGCAATTTGTAGTACACTTCTTTTTTTGGAAACTTTTTTCTTTTTGTTTTTCGTAGGAGTTACGGTACTTGAAAGGCTCTAAGCACTTTTTAAACGTACAAAATCTGATGAAAACTTTCAATTTGAACTTTTTGGCGTTGAAGCAGTGTACTTCAAAAATTCATAATTTGAAAATATCAGCTGTTTTGAAATTTACTTCAATTTTTAGTTTCCTCGTGAGATTTTCAAAATTTCAAGATGCACTTGGAGATGTTTTTCTTGCGTAAAGTACACTACGTTTCTTTCCAATTCATTCAACGTTCAATCACAAAAAAACTTTTCTATATCGATGAATATGAAAACAAGTGTGAATGATCATTTTTATGTTATTAAAATAATTCAATCCATAAAAGGAGGAGCAAAACAAACGATGAACACTTTTGGTTATGTTTTGGCAATGTTACAAGTGGTTTGGACGCACTCTCACGGAGCTTTTGCATGTGGAAAGCGTCCGAAAGCCTGAAGTGCCGCCATATCGAGTCGGAAATCGCGAGAATGCCGGTGCCCGATTTATCTTCTTCGATCTTCGCAAGAGTTTTTCCGAAGCTTTACTCTTGAAATAATCACTCTTTACGAGAAAATTTGCTCTCTTCTTTTTTTGATTCTTTCTATTATTTTCTGTTTGAAACAGTGTTAGTTTAGGATTTAGAAATCTTTTTTCTCCACAACTTTTTTTAAATTTTTGAAGATTGTTTCTTAAATTATTTATGCATCCTCACGAAAAACTGGCTTTCATTTTATTCCCGAAATTTCTTTCATTTTTTTTTAACTCACCTGTTTAAAAATGCCGCCACAACCGCAATGGAAAACAAAAAGTTAATTTTTTTGCTATTTTTTTCAAAAAAAGGAAAAAAAGACCTATCTTGAGAAACGTCTCATAATTTTTTTAAGTCTCATGTTTTGCTCTTTGATTACGTTTCATTTTTCTAAATCTGGTGTTCTTATAATTTGCAAAAAGAAAACTATTCTGAAGCAGGATGTGAATAATTTGAGCTTCTGGAATTTTTCTGACATGAAAGCAGTGTTATTCTCGTTAATTAGCACTACTCTCAACTTTTTCTTTTCCTCACTTTTCATGCAGGCGGAAGCTTCAGATTTTCCGTATGCAAATAATTAGGATAAGAAGTCGCTGCAGTTGTTCTCATGAGCAACGTTTGAATTTTGAGCACATATGCGAGGAAAGCGACATGATTGATGAAGCCCAGAGCGCTTATTAGAAGCGCCGCGGCCATCCGTGCAAGACCATTTTTTGGAGACTCGCCCGACATAAAAGCTTCACTTTTTCTCAGATTTATTTGTTTTTCTTCACTGTTTCAGTAAAACCACAAACTCGCAGAGAAAGTTGTGAATTATTGAACCTAAAACTCATCAAAGTAAGACGAGGGAGGTTTTATCGTTATCGGAGAAATTTTCGGATAGTTGGTTTCCCAAAACGCTCGCTTTATACAAAACGCACCGCAGAGAGTACAGATAGTTTTAAATTCGCAAAAAAAGTGTTTAATGAGCATAAGAAAGTACGCCTTTCCTTGAATAAAATTCACTAATTCGCTCGGTTTTCCCCTCGTTATGTCAGAGATAATTGTCTCGAATCGTTCGGCACGCATTGAATATTCATGAATATAAGTTAATCATCCGTTTTCTCGACCCTCTCTTCTTTTCTTCCATCGTACGGGGTCGGCATTGCTTTCTCAGACGCTAAAATGTTTCGTTTTTCTGATAGGCGGTGCTCAAAGTTACGCTGAATAAGACAAATTTCTTCTTGGAAATTTGCTTCCAATGCCTACCTGATCAACGGACATAAATGTCTATGCAATTTACTGGTCTACAGGTTTGTTTTTGGATATAATTGGGATGGACTTTGACTACAAAAATTTTGAACAGATGGTCAGAGAGCTCTCCAATTTGAATCCTAAAAACATCTTGAATTCAAAGAAAAACCGGAAATCTGAACTTTGTAGGTTGTATCATGGATCCTACTTCTCGTTGGAAACGGAATGTTGATTATCGCATCCGTTTCCGATTTTTGGTCAGTTCACACGCCGAGAAATCAAATGGGTATCCTATAATTGTCTTCCAAAATGATCATTTGATGCAGATGGATTAGTGATGAACCGTGGAATTATAAGACAGTGCATATCTACAAAGCAATATGGGAGTTGTGACTTTCGATTGGCGAGTATTTTCAAGCAACTTCGGAACTTGTATGACACCTACGCAGCAAGAACCATCTACCGACATATGCCAGCTAAAAGTTTGCATTTTATACGATTTGAAAGCTAGAGATGAAAATTCGGGAATGAAAAAGATTTTCATGATTTTTTGAATTATTTTTGACTTTTTTCTGGAAGGAATATTTTTAAAAAAACACTGTAGTTTCAAAGTCCTTATTAATTTCAAAGTGGAGTGTTATTAAAGCTTCTGCGTCTTTGAGATAATAAAGCCCTATAAACTAGCAATATTCAGCTTTCGAAGTTTTCGTCGTGCTCTTCATTTCAATCTCCATTTCCGTTGCAACAGTGGTTTTGACTTTTGGACCTTTTTGCTGTCAAAAGTGTAAAGCCGCGACAACTTTGCTTATACTCATTACAGGTTTCTTTATTTATTTTCTCGGGTTTTAGCTCAAAAGTTTTGCAAAAGAAAATTTCCAGGTGTTTTCTCAGCGGCAGGTTGTTTTATCTACTGGACTGCGAACCGAGAAGGAAACACTTTCACCTTACAACATATGCCTTTCGAGCACGTTTTTCACTACGACTATGTTCGTTTTTTATTTTTTCTTTTGGCCAAATTCGAAAAATGTACAACAAAGTTCCAGGGAAGTGACGAAAACTTGCTGTCATGGTCTTTCTATCTTGCTGCGTCCAGTGCGGCTTTCCTTCTGATCTCCGCATTTTTGTTATGTCAGTTTTGTCTCACATTCAAACTTGATGATCGCAGAGGGAATGGCTTATCTTGACGGACCTCAAACAGCTTACGCGCTGCAGCGTTATGAGAGCTGGAGCACATATTTTTCATTGCTTTTGCAAGTGTATTTTTCACAACATTCAGTTCAGTCGTTTTTCAACCGCGACATTAAGATCTACCCTCTGCCAAAAACATAGTTTTAAGCAAGTTTCTTTAGGCATTTCTTCCCGAGTGGATCCTGATATTGAATACGAGCCAGCGGCATCATCGCCAGTTTGAAAATAAACAATCTATCCTTGATAAATATCTTTATTACACAATGAATCTACACGTTCAAAAGAAAGCAAATTACCCAAATAAACCACTCGGAATGTTTTTTTTCTAAAAATAAAAGACGGATTGGACTAGAAACAAATAACAACGGAAAAGATATGCGCGAGATATGTCGATCCGAATTTTCGAATAGCCTCATACTTGAGTGTGTCCACTGAGCTTCACCAGTTTGTCAACTTTTTTGTTCACATTATCTTCGTCGTAGCTCTCATTTCTTTGGAAAAATTTCCCGACGAAAGGGAGAGCCGTAAAAAAGTTAACCATGCATTGATCGTACGGAGCCAGAGAGCGAAGATAAATTGGAATGAAATCCCATGTTTGCAGGACCTTTGGTAGACAATCCTTGCATTTTTCCTGAAAAAGGACATTTCTGTTGATCCTGCGTTTAACACGGTCAAGTTTGGGTGCCTATTTTTTAAAATTGCTAGTTACAATTTGATTCTTCATCGTCATAATGATGAAGGAAGGCTCATTTCAGAAATGCAGCTTTTTTCTCGAATTTCGGAAGCTTAGCTTCAAACTCGGAATCTGATTTGTGGCTGACGAGGTTAGAGTTCTTATTTGAAACTTGACAAAATTATTCAGATGCAAATTTTAGAGCCCTTCTCACCTGAGCGACAGAGATAGAGACGCAACTGACGGTCAATAAAAATATCGATGACACCGTGATAACCATCACAATTTCAGGTAAAAGACTAAGCCCAATCACGGTAAATGGTATTATCAAAAAGAAGACCAGCACAAAAATGACGATGAACCAACGGTACTGTAACAAATGTTTGTTTTTGTTTTTGTATTGCAGATTACCCTGTTTGTCGTATGGCCCAGTTTGAGAGAAAGATAAATCGGGAACTTTCGCATTGGCGGGATTATATAGAAGAGAAAGGTGCCGATGATGTTATAAATCACTTGGCACATCGCCATATGAAGGGCTCTGAAAGGAAAATGCAAATTTGAAAGTGGTTTCCGAAACTTTTCAAAGCGACTGCCATCAGCTGAGAACGCGGCCAAAACTCCGCTGAAGGTTGTTCCGATATTTGACCCAAGTATCAGTGGGTACATCTGCTCCAGTGTAACCACACCACTTCCAACCAATGGAGTGAGTGAAGATGAGAAGATGCTGTTTGATTGAATCTGAATAAGGAAAATATAAAATGAATCCAAATTATCATTTTAAGGTGACAAAATGATTTTTTTAAATCTGCATGAAAAAAAAAATATTTCTTGCTTATCAATAATGTGACAAGTGAGTTCATTTTTCCGGGGTGTTCGGAAAAAACTTGCATTTCAAAACTACCTATTCTCCGTTTTATTAAAAGCCAAAAAGGCTGCTGTCCTAAGCTAATTTTTCAGCGAAATAGCGATTTTTGGAGCTAACGACTACTAGAATTTTCGGTCACAGAAACAAAGATTTTTCCGATAATTCTTAGGAAAAAGCTAAAAATTTGAAAGAAATGATATTTTAAGTTTCACACTAAAACAGGTTATAGTAGAATGATGCAGCGCGCAAGTAGATTTTGGTCGGTAGAAGAAAACTTACTAAGAGTGTCACTATCAATCCAACAGCCATGACGACGTATCCCGTGCAAGGTTTCCATCTGCCTGGACATTCTCTGGAGAGCAAGTTTTTCACGTACTTTGCTGCATGGCCGTCCAGCATTTTCTGAAACCGCGAATTAAGAAAAGGAAAGTTTTAATTTATTTTTGATTTTTATAGGATTTCGTAGAACGCTGTCCAATTGCTTTCCAAATTCCATATAACAAACCTGGATCAAGAAGACGATGGCGAAAAGACAAGCAATCAAGCAAGGAATCGCAAAGGCCAGGACCATCCAACCGATTGCTTGGTCCGACAGAGTGGAATATACGAAAACGTGTTTGTATGGACCTGTAAAGTTCAAAAAAACTGTACGAAAACTTTATAAAGCTCACATGCATATATCCTTGATCCATTGGAAAAAGCACATCGAAGCACAAAAGTATGATTTGGAGGGAACAATTCTGGTCGGATAGAGGCGTTTAGAACTTCGGCTTCGTTTACCTGATTTTCAGATAGCTTTTTTTCTGCATTTAGATTCATAGTTCAGTTCTAGTATTCAAGCAAAGACTGAAAAAATTTTTTTTCAAATAGACTGATCGAATTTAATTATCAAAACCGATCATACTTCAAGAATCATACGGGTGACGGGATCGGTCAGCAACTCAAGAGTTTTGAAAGAGAGCCCTTGTTCGGATATCAGTGGGTCCACAATCCACCAGCTCAGAGTTTCGATCAAGCTCGTCGCCAGCTCCAGCGGGAAAATCACAAACAAACTGCAAACGTTGAAAACGTCGCCCAAGACGGCTGCCGAAAATGCGCGGCAAAATCTGTAGTTCAAATTTTTCTTTTTTTCCATTTCAGTAGGGATCACTGTTCTGGTTGGCCGGCGTAAGCCAGAGAGATGAGGGCATTGACGAGCGAAGATCCCAGTTCAGAGCCGATCATGACGGGTATGGCGTCATGTACGGTGATCACTGTTGTCAACAATTGGAGTCGGACCAGTGCAAAAAAGGCTCACTGTTGGCTGCGACCATCGTTACGAGGATGTTTGTTGTCGTCGTCGCACTTTGCAGAACCACAGTCACTAGCATTCCTACTACGAGGGCTGATATCGGATCTTTTATCAGAGCTGACGCTTGAACAATTTTTCCTGCAAAAAAGATCTTTCCAGTAGCTAAAAAAGAATTTATGAGTACAAATCATGTGATTTTTCGGTCAAGCTCAAGCAAAAATATTCAAGTTCTTTTATTTAATGCATCTTCCATAAAATAATTCAAACAATCTCAAAATAATCAATTTTGTTTTTTTTTTCTCTATGGAGCCTACAGAATAACTTTTTGAGACTCTTTGCAAACAATCTTTTGCCCACAGCTCTGTAGGGCGAACGGCCTATTTCTGTTGCGTGAATAGGTTTTTTTCTCGAAAATTGTTTTTCGGGCAATTATGAGGAACGGAGAATCATACCGAGTCCACCACTTGCCAAAAGGCTGAATGCAGTCGATACGACGCCCAAAAGACACACGTAGGTGAAAAGAATGACAAAGATCATCGGCAGAAATGAACTGATAATGAGATAGTACTTGCATTTTTGGGATGAGCTGAATCCTGAAACAACATTATATGGAGAGAAGTGCTTTGAAGATCTGGATTAGGATAGTTTCAATGAAAAAATGGAATATTTTTTCCACTTCGAAAAAAATTAATAAACGACTGGGAAAATTTTTAGTGCCCACTATAGGGTTTTGACGTTTTATTGGCCGCTATAGTAGTCAAATTAGTGGCCACTTAAAGGGTTAACAATAAGAGACCACTATAGAGGTCTCAGTGCTACTACTAGACCACAAAAATTTTTAGTGGCCAGTTTAGGGGTCAATGGATCAACAGAACTGGTCCAATCAATTTGTTTTGAAATTATCAGAGTTACTGGAAGGAATACTGGATAAAAAACTTCTGAAGTGGCCACTATAGAGGTGGGTTTAGTGGCCACTTTAGTGTCCTCTCCAAGTAGTTCTTGGCGTCTATAGTGGCCACTAAAAATTTCCCTAGGATCATACTGGTTTTGAAAAGAATGGAAGATTTTTGGTTCAAGAACCTGATCAATAAATTTTTCATCAAAAGGCATATATTTGACGAAAATTTTCACCGACGTTATTATGTAGCCTTCCTTTATCTGTTGAAAAAAATTTGATTTTTATAAAAAGAGTCAATAAATCGTTTCTAATCCGATCAAAATACTCACTTGACCACGACGCAACGCTTCTTTTGGTGACTTCCTCTCCATTTTGAACCACATCTGCACGAACGTCTCCAACTTTCGCTCTATTCATCGAATACTATACGGTTTCCAACTCAAATTGAGCAATGAGCAAATATCCAAACTCAAAAACAATTCAACGGAGTGAAGGGATGTCGGCGGTCGGAAACCGTTCTAATGCCACCTTTCGGCTGGCGCAAACCGGAGCCGAAAAGGATGAGTCTGCCCTCTAACCCTCCACTATTATCCGACTAAATCTCGCGTCATGAAATCCACGTTTCCGGTTTTTCGCCGTTGCGAAGAATCGATGGCACAAATACTATCTTCTTCACTACAAACAACACATTCCGGAGGTTTATTTTTGATTCAGATGTTTCATACTAATGTTATCACTTTTCTCTTCTTCTTTTTTCAAGTTTTGAGATGACCTCGTCGGTCTGTGCTTTCGTTAGCATCTCATTTCCTTTTCAGGTGTGTCAATTTATTGATCCTTTTCCGATTTTTTTTTACCGTTCCCATTTTTTTTCGTATTCCAACCTCAAGCCTGAGTTTTCACATTATTTCGCTTCTTTTCCATCATCTTAACCCACAAATAAAAAAAAACTTCTAACTTCATGGGAAAACTTTTATTAGGCGCGACTTGAAACTGAGATCTGAATTATTTTGTAAGAGAAGTATTCAAAGAACGGAAAACTTTCCTTGAAGATTGAGATGCAGTTTAGTTGCCCTTTGCTTTTTTTTCTTCCAGACTATCGCGGAAATATTTTCCCCCAATTGTCCTTAAAGGGCAACACATGATAACAAAAAAAAAGTGTTCTAACACCCATTCAATCATTTTTCTCTCGATTGACAGATTTGCTGACCATATAAAAGCGAAAATCAAATGAGTAGAATCATTTCGTCAGGATGTCGCTCGAAGGACGCGTCGCTGTTGTCACTGGAGCCTCAAGAGGCATCGGAAGAGGTTGTTAGTGTTAAAAGTAGCCTTTTTAAGTTCTGTATCCAGGCATCGCTCTACAATTGGCCGAAGCTGGTTTTCGGCTTTTTATAACTGCACGAAAGCCCACTGAGAGCCTTTCAACGCAATTTTCCTTCCTACCAACTCTAGAAGATACCGCTAACGGTTCACTCATCTTTTTGATTGCCCAATAATGGAATCAATGACAGAATGTCGATTACGAGGCTCCGAATGCAGGGAGTTTTATGTCGACCATGGTAAAATGGAAGAAGTAGCCGAGTTCTTCGAGTTAGTCGCTCGTGAAACTAATAACCAGCTGGACATCCTTGTCAACAACGCCTTTTCCGCGGTCACGGTTTGACTGAAGCTTAACTTCATCTCAAACTTCTCTAATTTTCTCAGAAATGCGGTTCCGGAGACACTCGAAAGTTCTTCGAGAAAGAGCCTGAAATGTGGGACGAAATAAACAACGTTGGTCTGCGGAATCAGTACTACTGCAGCGTTTATGGAGCTCGGATCATGAACAAGAACGGAGGCAAAGGGTTCATTGTCAACATCAGTTCTCTTGGCGGCATCATGTAAGTTCTGCGTTGGAAAAAAAAAAGAAAAATCCAGAACAGAAAAGCTTCTGATCTTCACTGACTTTTGTGCAATTTTTTCCTTCTTTTAAGATAGATCACGAAAAAAGGTACTTCAAAAACTTTAGTTCAACTTTCGAAAAAGTTTGATGAGTGATACACTCCGAAAAAAAAACTAAAGATTTTGTACTATGTTTAAGAATTTGGAACTATAAGGTAATAATATAAGGTTTTTTAAGAGACTGGAGCTTTTTCTTCTGAATTTTGCTCGATTCAAAGAATTCAGGTACCTTTTCAATGTCGCTTACGGCGCTGGAAAAATGGCGATTGATCGGATGTCAGCCGACATGGCTCATGAACTTCTGGAAACCGATATAACAGTCGTTTCTCTTTGGCCTGGAGCTGTTCGCACTGAGCTCATTATTAATATGCTGGAGAATTCTTCAGGATCTTGGGGCAAGGTGAATAACAAAAAAAGCTATTTTTAGACTTATGGAATAATCCATGGAGCTCTGAAAACTCAATTCTTTCTAATTTTCAAAGTGGCTTTTAAGACAAACTCGCCAATAATGCAACAGATTTTTATAAATGCATTTTGACAGACGGAAAACGCCATGTTTCTGAACGGAGAGTCCATCGAGTACAGCGGGAAATGCGTGGTGGCGCTGGCCAATGACCCTCTAAGACATCACAAAACGGGCTCTATCCTCATCACTTCAGACCTCGGACGTCAGTACGGCTTCTCCGACACTGATGGTGTGTTCAAAACTCTAGTTTTCTTTTGCGAACTTCGATTTCAGGAAGGCAGCCGGCGAATCTGAGGTCTCTTCGTGGATTACTGCAATTGAGTGGGTACTTAAAGCTTGGGAATTGGGTGCCGTCGTGGTTCACCGTTCCCGGGTGGGTCATCACTCTTTCTCAGAACAAAATCCTCCACTGACATCTCTCCTTTGTTCTTTTTTCTTTCTTTTCATGTACAAATGCTTCACTTTTACGGTTACCATTCATTATGTCAATAAAGAATGTTCGAAGAAAATGTACAATCACCAGTTAACTTTGAGATCACAGAGTAAGAAGGAGAAAAAAAAATTGCGCGCCGGTTTCGAATTCCAAAGTAACTACAAGCTTCCACAAACCTGCTTGGCGAGGCTAATTTTAGAACAAATTTTGTAGGAACATTTTTTCAATGGCTGATCGCGGAAGATGCCGCTTCAAACAAACAGAAGAAATAACAAAGTTAGCAAACATGAGTTCAGAGAAAAGTTGATGGAAAGTAAATGAAAAGAACTGTAAAAAAAGAAAGAACTGAAAAATATTCGGAATACTTTTTGGGTAACGTGGTTAATACTGAGAGAATAAAATGATTTTGCTGTAGCTCTCAGAAACAGAACCATTAGGATTAAAAACCTCACGCAATCATGGCTTCTTTTTCCTTACCAACGGAGATAAGGGAACTATCTTTGAAGGTTTTGGCTTTCTCAGGCTTTGGTCGGCCTGACAGGGAGTCGTCAGAAGCGTAGAAGAACGTTGCGCCCGTGTCGACGTCAATGACTTGGATCGGAATGTTGCAGACAACTTCGCCGTTTCTCCTTGATTTCAATGTTTCTCGAGATCTCATAAAACAACTGACTTTGTCACGAGACGTTCGTTCCCATTTGAAGCCGTCGTCGCTCTTTTTTTCCTTCTGAAAGCAACACGACTTTTAATTATTCAATTTTCCAATTAGCTACAATGTGCTCAATTAGTTTTGATAAAAGTATATGTTGAGGCCGTAAAGGATAACCAGTATTATCCTCTTTTTTCTGGTTCATAGAACTAAGCCAAAAACTATCAAAATACTACTGCTGAGCTTAAAAATGTAGGGCAAGACACCTTCCTTGCTGTTTTGAATATCAAGACAAGCATTTTTCAACAAACTACGATTTGTTCACGATGTTTTTGAGAAGTTTTTAAAAGCATAGTTGAGAAAAAAATTGAACGAAACGTGAATCATTTTTTTGTAAAAGGCAATGAAAACATTTTTCTGTGAAGTTTAAAATATCTGTCAAATATTCTAGAAAAAAATTTCAATGGAAATACTGAATCTTCATTTGCCCCAAATTTCCAATAATCACGTTTTTTAAAGAATCAAGGCTGTAAATAATTTTTCGCTATGAGACAATCCAAGGGATTTTAAGCGAATCTACAAGAAAAAAAAAACTTCACGACTGTTGTGGATAGGCTAAAAATCAAACTAACTCGTGGTTTTGATGCAAAACTCGAAGCCAGGCGAGCAACGCGAAAAGAGAGAAGACGACCGCCGGCAACACGAAACAGAGCACCACCAGCCACATTTCTTCAACCATTTTTGTGTATAAAGGAAGCCCTTCCACTGAATGTTTCAAATTTAACTTTATTCTTCATAATAATAAAGCAAAAAACGGATGAAATCAAAGCACATCGGTTGCGGATGGAAGAGAGGCACTTGCAAATTCGCAAGGAGGTGGGTAATCATTGCATTGAACGCGACCGAGGAGCTCTCACTCTCCGGCCTCGTGAAGTGCGGCGATTTCGACCCTTTGAATAATGCACCGCAAATTATTCGCCAACTTCTTCCGCGCTTATTGATGCTTGGCTGGCTTCGGAATCGGCAAACTGTTGCGAAATATCTTGGAGTGTGTGGTATTCAAGCCATTATCTTTGAAACTGTTCGAAATTCTTTTTTGACTCGAATAAGCCTTTTTTGTGAATTTACCGTTTTAAAAAATATCTCGGGTTGAAAAATTTCCTATTTTTTTCTCAATATTGTTCTAGATGCAATTTTTTTACAAGCTGTCTGATTTTTCTAGTTGTTTTTCTCCGTTCGGAAAATGTCTCGCGTTGATTTTATCGTGACCATGTCTTTTAAACGTTGGTCCCACCCGATTACTTACAAAAATTAGATTTTTGGGCAAAAAAATAATATATGCGATACCTTTATAATCGAAAATAACGTGGCTTTTCTTTGTTTATTTCATTAGTAAAAATCACTGAAAAGAAATATTCAACTGATCAAGAGGGCGCAGAAAAACTAGATTTTCTGAGTTTCAGCAGAAAGTGCTTTTTTTGAAAATTCTGCTTTCAATAACTTCCCAATCATTTACACGCACTGTCAGTGGGAAGTTTGATTTTTCAGATCAATAAAGGTTGAAAAACGTGCGGAGGACTAAAAAAAATAATTCCTGTTTCTTTGCAAGTTTCCAACTCTTCAATTTTTTCATAATCACTAAATAATATTTCTATAATCCTTATTTTAATCATGTGAACTTTAATAAAATTTTGACCAAAAATGTATCGCCTTCTTTCTAAAAAACACTTTCGCGTCTGTGAAGAAGGTTCATGCACCTTTAAACAATTGCTCTAAATTGAATTGAGAAGGAAGCAAGAAGGAAGCAAAAGACGCGTTTCGAGACGATAAATGATAAATCGAAAAATATTGGGTATTGCGGGTCGATGATGAAGAAGCCTTGAGAAGGTTGGGAAATAAATAAACAAAGAGAAAAGCGTGATCAACGTTCGGCGTCGGAACTGGGAGCACGGAGAGACGGTAGTGATGGGTCTGAGCACGTGTTGATCGAACGGATCGCGCGGTAAGCAATTAAGAAAACAAGAATCATTTTATTTTGGGCTCCTAAACTGTTACAGAATGTACAGAACTGATAGAAAAACAAAAATATCAAATTGGAGGTTCGGAAATGAAAATAGTCTTCTAGAACTTCTAAGAGAGGAAGTTGAGAAAAAAAGGGTGATTTCTGTTTGGCCCAAACTGATAATAACTTTTTTTGAGAAAACTTTTTTTAACGTTGCACAAAACCATTAGAATATCATAAAAAAAGCAGTTAATTCTACTTATTGGGTCGTAACTTTCAGAAAATTTGCCAAAATGTCTTCTGATCTAGAAGATAAAAATTTGAAAATCCCAACCTGCACAACATCTCAAAGTCTGCATATAGTCAATTTCAACAAGATTTTGGGCTTTTCTTAGACTTAAAGTCATTCTTTCTCAATAACGGAGAAGCTGTGCAGATTGAGATTCTCAGAGCCTTTATCAGGTACGAAAAGAGTATTTTAACCACTTTTCAGGAATTTTCGAAATTGAACGACCAACCTGGTTAGCAAGTGTTTGGAAACTTATTATAAATAGCCTCAGCTTCAAAAAGAATTCAAATAACAAATGGAGGTTGGTTCGAAGTCATTTGGAGGAAGTTAATTAGGTTCCTTGACTGGCTAATAACACGCAAGACCAATGATTGGCTGCTCACCTTTCCCGGCCTGCTGCTCGCTGAGTTGTGGAAGAGGAAGATGCCCGTTTTCGTGGACGTGCATCGGCAGGGCTCCTTGTCAAAAACCGAATGCCTGAGACTCTCTCCGTCTGTCTCGGACGCCTTTTTGCGTTTTGTTTTACTCGTCGTCCAACCCGTAAAGTAATCAGGAAATTGAATACAACGGAAGCACGCATACTTATGTACGGGAAGGAAGAAAAAAACGGAGCTCACTGCTGTCCCGACACCACTAGCTAATTACTTTTCTTTTCGAACTACCGCTCAGGCCCAAAGTCTGGCCAAAAAAATAACTGGATTATGTTCGAAATAATTCTTGAAAATCTTTACTAGGGAACCCCCTGATTGAACTTTCGATGAAAATTCGCTGCAGTGTACATTAGGACCTACTGTTTTCAAAACAAAAAAAAAGTTTTCAAAATAAATATTGTTTTCGAGTTAGGACAGTTCAAAAGCTCAAAATACCGCTTTTTTGTCATAATTTGCATATTTTGCGGAAGCTTCATAACTCGAAAACGAGATCTATTGCGAGAAATTTTTTTTCTTGGTCTGCAGGAGGATCTTAAAGAACACTTCAGCAAAGTTTCAGCAAAAGTTTGACCGGGGGGGGTTCTCAATTTGTTCATTTATTCTGAAAGTTTGCTGAGACGCTCTTTATTTTTTTAAATGGAATACCGGGATAGTTGCTCAAAAAAATAAAGAACCTAACCATGCAAATTTTTCCGTTCTGAGAAAAAGTTATTCAATGAAAGGAATTTAAATTTTTTTACTGTGTACAATTTCACGCAAATAGCAACTAGTTGAGACTAGTTAAAAAAATGGTTAATGTGATTTTTTCACGAAATATTTAAAGTTCGGAAGATTTAATTTGAAAAAAACTATTATATGCAGAAAAGAAAAAGTTTGCTTCAAAATTGTTATTAATTTGAGAACCCTTTGAAAAAAATTTGAAAACTTACCTCCAATCTTCAACTTCAATAGGCTTTCAACGGCTTCTTGGAGTTTTTAATTAATGAATCAAGTTCGATTCAAGATCTACCGTTTTTCTTACAGGAAACTCAGAACTCTTCTGTGAAAAAATGCTGTGTTTGAATCTCAACTTGAGAGTGAGGTGCAAGAACAGTTTTTTTTTTAAACTCAAAAATACGTAGAAAACTTTATGGAAGCCACAACATCATTAAAGCAATCAAAACCACGAGAGTGTAAGAACCGAAATATCCAGAAAAAAAGATATAAAACTTACAACATGAGAAGAAAAGCTACACGAAACTTAAATGCACTATAGGGCAACTTGCACTGGTAGAAATCTAGATAGATAACGGAAAGATGAACGAATTGAGCAATTTCGATGTCAGTTATCCGGACATTCCCGTTCACAATTCCTTCTTCGAGCGCTTGCCCTTGGTCGGCGGGGGCGGCGCTGGCGGTTCAGGCTCGTTGTCATCATCGTCATCTTAAATTTGAGTTTCCGATTCTTCGAAAAAGTCCGAATAGTACCATCCAAAGAGATAGAACCACTGAGAATCTGATCGATCCAAGACTGGAGAGCTTCAAAGTTGGAGTCGGAATGCTTCTTTGGGTCGTCGAGATTCACTTGAGAGATGTCGAACCAGATTCCCTCGCGCTGAAATATATCAAGAGTATTTTATCAATCGAGTCAAAGAGAATTAAATCAAAAGTGTGGATTTATCTTTTTTTTTTTCTTGATCGAAATTACTATTTTTAACAATTTTTTTTTGTTTTTTTGTTTTTTTGGACAGTAAAAGACCGCAAACGGAGCGGATCAATGTTTAATTGTTATCCCTTCCTACTTCAGAAGCCATAATTTTTATCAAGACTCCATGAACTTAACAACAGATTCTTGAACTAGAAAAATCAGTTAATATTGCTTTCTTTGAAAAAAAATCGTTTTTTTCTTCTTGTTATTCTTCAATTTTTAATAAAACGATCTTTGAGCTTTTGTCTAGTTCAAGTCCCTTTTTCGAATAGCTTATTTCATCATTTCTGCTCACTTCAGAAATGTCGACAAGACCGATCTGAGGTCCTTCTTCGATGTCGATTCCGAACATATCTTCCCACACGTCAACCATCAGGGGGAACTCATCTGGAAATGTTAGTTTCATCCATTCAAAACTCATATTTCTGCTCACCAGGGTCAATCAAGACGATTTCAAGGGTTCCCGCGTGTTCAGAGTTCTCATCGGCAATCTTGTCCAACAATTTCTTCATGGCTCGTCCTTCGCGTGTCTCTTCGTCAACGAAAGCCAAGATCATCTTTTCTTCTTCTTCTGGATCCCTCTAAAAACTCCGTTTTCTGCTACTCAACTAAAAATTAATAGCTAACCCAAACGTTGAAGTAGTTGTCCAAAGTGAGCTTAGCCATGACAGGCTCACGGTGTTTCTCAACCCACTCTTCAAACTCTTCTTCTAAAAGTTTTTCTCAGTCAAAATGATTTTTGAAGTTCAAGGAACCGGTATCGGCGGAGGTCGGCGCAAAAAGTGGATCTTCTTCGAACGGTCTGCGCATTTGAACTTCTCCAACTCGCTTGAGTCCAACCTTGCGGGCCCACTAAAAAATTGATGAATTTCCTGCAATAACCTTCGCTCATACCTTCGACGTCACCACAGCGAAGAACTCAATTTCACCCATGAAGTCTTCCGCGGCTTCTTCAAATTCTTTCAGGGCTGAAAGTTCCGATGATCGGATTTTATTTGATTAAAGAAGTATACCAACAGATCCTGGCTCAAAATAACCAATAATGCGGACGCATTCGTCGTCGAGGTCTTCGAACTCTTCGAGGTCATGCTCATCATTGATGATGGTTACCGGGTCATCAGGGATCTGCAAAATGAGATTGAAAAAGTTCATAAAAAAACTGAAATGTCAAAATTTTATCTAATCCAAACGTCTAGCTGACACGAAGTGTTGTTTTGTTCATTCCAGATATTCTAAGGATAAGCCGAAGATTCTCCTGTACCAGAAGAAAGACATCGTGGTTTTCCATTTGCCGGGTATTTCGGTTCGCAGGAATAATTTTTATCGTAAAACCCTTTTGAAGCGTTCTGGAGGTTCAAGCCATGTTTATCAAAGAATGAAGTATAGCTGTTTCAAATTTCCGTTTCAATCGATCAATATGTCATTTGAAACTCACATCCATCAGCCAGCTGACGAAAGTTTCTGGATCCCTAACTCCATTGTACTCAATCTTGTAGCCATCCTTGTATACGTGAATCGTATCTTCGCCCTTCTCGACCTCTGAACTCTTATCGATTGATCGAGTTTCTTCCCAAGCGGCTCGTGCCAGCCGTCACTTGTGTTAGCAGACATCTTTATATTTTCTGATTTCTTTAGCTCTCCACATTGTTACAGCTGGCAAAATCTATGGGGCTCACACGTTGAAAAGCTGAAAGCCACATCGATAAAAAAATTTCCTGCGCTCAAAAGCAGACAATCAACTAGTAAATACTCATGAAAAATTGAAGATAAGAAGTTGGAAAAGCTTTCATAGCTGCAGAACAAAAATTTCTGTTTTTTTTTGGAATGATAACGAGTTAACTCTTCTCAAAATTCCTAAATCGAACCAAGTCAAACCATTAAGATTTTTTTTTTGATGGTTTTTATGGCCTACAAAGCATTTCACTCTACATATAAGTCCCTGAAATTAGTTTTGCAATTGTTTAAATGTTTATTCAACAAAAAGTTTTTGCAGTTTCCTCATTTTTGAACCCATGGAGAATGAATTCCGAGGAAATCAAAGGCTTTTCAAACTTCATATCGTAAAGAATCCCCAACAAAACCTTCTTGTCTGCGAAGTTTCTGTTCCTTGGTGGTGTTGACAGTGTAAAAGTTGTACCCACGCTTGGTCATGATTTGAGCAGAAAGCTTAAGTTCAATTCCATCAAGACTTTTTTTTTCCATTCAAACCTGCAAGAAGCATTCATATTGGTCCAATTCTGAATCATCTTCTTCGACATCGTTGAAAAACACGACGGACTTGCTGTCTTCGGCGAAGATGGTTTTGTTGAAGTTCTTTTCAGAGAGAACCTAAAAAAGTCTCTATTGATTGACAAAGGAAAATATCTTTCACCTCGGTTCTGTCAAATCCATCGTACTCAAGATCGGGGTATCCGAGGAACATGCACTCGAGGTCTTCATTTTTCGAGATTCCGGCCCAAGCGACGGCTAGAACCAGCGCAAGGCTGGTCAGGGGGAGCCAAGCCATTCTGAAAAAAAGTTCGTAGTTGGTTGTAAAAATAATGGTGAGCGAAATAGCGCGAAAATACTTCCAATGTGAAAAAAAGTAATCGAAGAATTAGTTGATCCAATTTGTATTTTTCATTTTTTGAAAGACTGCAGGCAATAACTCAGAAGTCTTTCAAAGCAAGAGCAGGAAAATATATTTCTCAGCGTGAGTTGGTTTCTTCCAAAAATCTGGATAGGCTCTGAGAATTTTAGGAAAACCGACAGATGATGGTATCAAGGGTAAATCAAGCTCCAGCCGTTGGTAACTTGATTTTTCTAAAAGACTTCTTCGAAGTTTGAATTTTTGGCAAAGGTACTTATGAAGAGAATTTCAAAGATTTCAGATATAAGCTGTGATTAAAAACTACTCTGGTAGCTAAGGCTCATTAGAAGTTTTTAAAAACAAGAAAGAATTTTGATGAAGATTGTACAGTTCAAAAGAGGGATAAAATCCGAAAAAGAGCCAAAAAAAAATCACGAGCAACGAGGCTGCCGAGGCGCGTCAAATGCTCGGCATGATGTTTGGAGGTGGCTCTAACAGTGAGGAAGCCGGCAGGAAGCCGAACGTGGTTGTAAAGAGAACGAAGGTCCGGAACATCGGCGCCAAGTGTACTGCTCGGATGTTTTTCCTCCGCCATTAAGTTTTGTACAACTATTTATCAAATCACGGCTTTGAGAAGCTTTTTTTATTTGCAGTCAAGGTGAAATATTCTAGAGGAAGGAGATGTGAAAAAAAGAAATATGCTTATTAAAAAAAGTAGATTAGCTGGAAGAAAACTCGAATCTGGATCATTTCATAGATTTTTTTCTTTTTAATTAGAAAAATTATTCGAGAACCTCTGCGTTTTTTTCAAAGATAATAGTTACTTGAGTATTCATGAAAATTCATGCTGCGAAGCGAAAAGCAAAAAATTGCAATCAAAAAATGTAAAACTCAAGAAAGAACATAGCTGACGAAAAAAACAGTAGACGGAAAGTCTTGAAAATTATTTGAAAAAGGAGTTTTTTGGATCAAAACTGAAAAAAATTTCCGATTTTTTTCTGTATTTTTCTCCATCAATCCCACGACAAAAAAAGTACCGAAATTTTTATATGTGAAAAAAAATTTTTAAACCTCAGAACTCAACCTCAAAACAATAAAACACTTCGAAGAGGTTAGAATGCATTCTTACGAACTAATCATTTTTAATGACCTCATTACAACTGCTCAAAGATAGAGAAGAGTCTTCTTCAAAAACTTGAAGAGAAAAAATTTTGCCGACGGTGAGTCGGGTAGGTGTAGAAAACAAACAAGATCTGGACGGATCGGCATCTTTCTTCATCATATTTCGCTACTTATCAAATATATTCGTGGCAACAGACGATTGCGTGGGCTCCGCTGTGCTGTGTGTGTGGGGCTCAGATCCGCGAGCACACAAATCGCTTTCGCAGAGCCGCACTTTTTGAAAACCAACCTTTTTCCCACAGTGTTATCTCAGGGAAAGATACTCACGGAACTTTGATACTTCACCTATTAAAAACTTTACAAAAATTGAAAGTTATACAGAAACTTAAACTTCAATGTTTTTTTCATAGAATCTCAGAACTGCTCCCACAATCTTTGCGATCGCATTAAGAATAAAAATGTACTATTTCAATTATATCGATTTTTCCAAACACAGTTTCTACCAAAATGAACAAAGATAATTTTAAAAGTCGGATAACGTTTTCTCTTATGAAATCGCAGAATTCTATTTACATAATAATTCAGAAAGATTCATTTAAGTTCGAAAAGGATGATAAAACGGGAGCAGGATAGTCGGTGAACAATCTCTAACCGGGAAAGCTTCAAAAAAGAAAATATAGCAAAGTTGAAGGATGTGTATATATACTTGATTATTAAAGTTGAGGGATGCATGTCACAAACTATAAGAAAAAAAGCGGGGTTTCGAGAGAAGAGTAGGAAAATCACCTTTGAACGTTTTTGTTGGCGAGGGCGATTTTGTGTGGACCAGCGCGAGAAGTCCATCGTCTGAATCGGGCTGATTTTCGCTTCTCAAGATCTCACGCCAAAGGCAGAGACTGTTGCGGCGTGTTTCCCAAGCTTCTTCCAAATCTTTCTGCGCCTGCGTAATCTGGAAATTCAAACACAACAATTTTGAATTTTGCTGGATATAAAAAACATTTCCTAGAAGGTGGACGATGTCCCCAGAGGCGTAGTTGCGGCTGTCCAAAAGCCGTTGACCAAACTGCTTAAAAGCGAGGCAGGTGGAGGCACGGTCCTCCATTTCGGCTCTAAAAAATATTTTATTGAAAATTTGGTGACATAGCCATACTTAATCTTCTGGTGACGCTTGATGATACCTTCAATTTCTTCTAAACCATATGCGAAATCGTTTCCGGTCACGATTTTTTGCATTGAAGAAGTCCAAAGAGTCCATGAAAGGTAGTCGGAATGAAAGTGGTGGAACTCCAGAGCCTCCCCAAGCTTAATCTTGCGGTCGTTCGCTTTGCTGAGGATCCTTTCCGCATGCCGCTGGATATCCCGCTGAAGGTCGATAATTCCGTTCGAGTCTCCAGGCTGTGAAGGACTGAGGCGCCTGGCTCTTTCGTTCAATGTATTTAACAATTTTAGAGAAAGAGCCAGGTTTTGCTCCAATCCTTCGTGTGTTCGTAGCAAAGCCAAAACAGATGCAATATCCGTTCCAATGTCATTAGAGTAAAAACTGCGACCAATGTACTGTAACAATATTCATTTTAATTTTCTCAAAGCTCAGAAAAACCAATATCCGGTCCACAATGAACTCGTACCCATCGAGTATGTGATCGGGCTCCTCCTTGTTCGACTCGTTTAATAAGTTTTGTTGGTCCACAAAAATATAGTTTTCCTAGAAACTGTTTTTCATTTTTTTCGAGCAATGGTTACTCACGGAGTTCTCCTCCCCAGCCAAGAAAATGCCGTCAAGGTTCATTGGGCCGGCATTAAAAGTTAGTTCTCCTCCTCTTTGCGAATCGGGTTGCGACAGATTCGACATTTGATAGTAGTCATAGTTAAGACGCATTACTCAATAGTTAACTAAATTTGCTAGATTATGAAAGTGAGCAACGAAGATAAATCTGCGGAAAATGTTTTTTTCAATTAATGGTAAAAAAAGAAAAAAACCCATAAAAGGACTTTGAGAATCTTATCTTTCATTTCGAATAAACGAATTTCTATGAATATGTTTTTTTCAACTGTTTTTTTAGTAAAAAAATAAGAAAAAAATCTAACTTATCTTTTTTTCGAGCAATCATGATAAATCATTATCAGATGTAGTTCCAAAAAGCTGCAGGTATCACAGAAAGAGAAAAGTTGAAAGTGTTTAAAAGAAGGTTCGAAAGCAACTTTTGGAATTTCTAATTGTGAATAAATGAGACAAGAAAATTCCGTTGAGCCATAATATCACAGCTTTTTATTTCCTGAATTCAAAAAAAAAAAATTTATGTGGCCAAAGTTTGAGACCAATAAACGGAAACTGAAAAAAAAAAGATAATATAAAAGAAAGCCAAAAGGGTATGAAAAGAGGCAACGGATCAGAGCCGAGCTAGCGGACGTTGCTGTTATGCGTTAACTTCTAGAAGGACTTTTTAGGTCTTGAAGAGAAAGGTTTCGCGCCGGATGAGGTCAAATACATACGCAGATCATTTAGGCAAAGAATGGACTTGAAAACCATTTTGAATTTTTTTTTTTCTTTTTGAATATTCGAAAAACTGCAAAAAAAAAAACTTACGTAACCAAGAACGGCTGTGGTGTTTTTTTTTCAGAATTCATATCGTTCGACAATTTAGTTTCGTTTGTCACAACGCAGGCTCTTCCTTCAAGAACAGCGGTGAAACTGGATTCTGATGTACGAGTATTTTTCAAAGGGAAATTTGACAGGTTCAATAATTTAATGAAGATTTTTTCAAGCCTTGTTTCTTCAAAAAACTTCAACTAATTCGATGATTTTAGAACCTCTGACAGAAACGCATTGCGACCGCTTCGCAATAGTATGCATTCCGAGTCACGTCGTCTCAAGACGATATAACTTTCATTATCTTTATTCCGTGTTTTCTCTTATTACTTTCATTCCCTGTAAAATCTTCACACAAAGTGGTCGCACTCATTCCGAGGCTCCCACTCACAGGACGGTCTGCGGGCTTCAGCACAAGATCCGCTACATTCTGAGCTCGTCAAGGCGCAGCTGGATGGACTACGCGTAGAAGAACAAGACGAAGGACCGTAGACCACACTTTCAACTCTTCCGACCAGGACTTCTTGTTCGCCCAAGGCGGTTGTTCTCTCTAGCTGTTAAAGTTCTTGTTCACCGCCTAGTCGAATATATCTGACTAAAGCAGCACGATAAATCATTTAATATGATCTAATTTGTTATAATCGAAATTAAATCCGAATGGCTCTTGGTAAAAAGACATAAATCGACTTTTTTTTAAAATTGTTTTCTTGAAATCTCAACATGAAAATTTATTTATACAGGGTGGGCGATGAATATTAAAACCGTTTTTGTTTGATCGCTGCTTTTTGCACAAAAGACTGGCCTTTGAATTTTTTTGTTTATTCTGTTCATTCATGCTCACTTATCATGTGTTTGAAGTTACAGCTCATACTTTTCAGTTTTCAGGTAATGGTGGCCCCATCTCCGTACCGTACCGCAATCATTGATTGTGTCAAAAGCGGAATGACAAATTCAGAGATCGTTAAAAAGCTGAAAGTGTCTCGTGTTCTCGTTTTTCGAAGTGCACAACGCTATCGGCGTCTCGGTACTTCAGATGACATGCAAAGAAGGGGACGTCCAGTCACCGTCACGACTCCAGAAGCAGTCAAAGCTCAAGAGTGGTGTCGCGCCAATTTTCCCGAGTTCATCTCGGCTGCTGATTGGCCTGCTTCCTCGCTCGACCTCAACCCGATGGACTATGCCGTGTGGATATATCTGACCGAGAAGGTCTCTTCTAAGAACTACCCAAGTATCAAAGCTCTGAAGACCGCGCTCATCAAGAAATGGGACGAAATCGACGACGACTACCTTCGTGACGTGATCGATGCGTATCCGAAGAGACTGAAGGCCGTTATCAAACGTTTTGAAAACTATTTTTGAATTTTGTTTCTATATTGTATGAATAAAATTTGTTCCAAGTTTGGTGGTGTTTGGTTGACTTTTGAGAAAGTTATAACGTTTCAAACGCGTTTCAATATTTATTGCCCACCCTGTGGTTTAAAAATTGGATTGTTTAATTTGTTTTGATTTATTGATTTCAACCAATAGAGGTTGAACTTTTGAACGATTTTGTGTACGTTTTTCGCATATGAGGGCTAATTCTAAACGAGTGCGCCACATAAATTGGACAATCGAAAAGAGAGAGGCCAACGGTACCGGTTGGTGGGCAGAAGCGCACGTAATTCGGCTCTGGAGAGACGCCAATGGTAAGCAGACTGGCCGTTGATGCAATTTCCGTCTTCAAAATGCCAGCAACTCTATTAATTGTTCTCTTATTTTGATGCCCGATTTGCCTTTTGCTTTTGATCGTTGCGTAACTGTCCGACGAATTGCCGAAGTAAACTTTGGAGCGCATCGCTCTATAAAAGGCTTCAGTCGGCGGGTTTTGGCTCAATTAAGAAGAAAACTTTGTCCGTGAGTTTGAATTATTGCTGTCCATTTTTTCATTGTATCATAAAACTTTGTTCAACTTTCTCATAGCCATGGCCTTCAAAAAACCAGAAAACTGTTCGATTTCTATTCATATCATTCCATTTTTCATTATTTCAATTCGTCGCTCACTTAAACCAGAAAATTTATAACTCTTTTACATCTCGATTCCGCTGGAAAAAACCTTTTCTTTTGACTAGGAAGTTTTTGGACTTTTTCACTTTCTCAACATTTTTTGACCTTTCTGTTCATTCACTTTGTTTTTATTGAAGTTCACCCTCAAGCTTCATTTGTTATTTCTGAAGGTTGTTTCTCTGTTTTTCCCAAAAGATATGAGTTGATGGGAATATCAGAGCTTCAAAAGAATTTTTTTGAGGCGCAGAAATTTATTGATTTGTTCTTGAAAATTAACTATTCAAACAAGAAGCTCAGCTGGAAACTAGAAATATTTTAGTGCTCTGAAAACTGGATGAGATAATTATTGGGGAATTTCTGGCACGGAAAAGGAAGTACTGACAGAAAAGATACGAAAAAACGCGACTTTGGTCATAAAATTTTTGTAAGAAATTCAATCTTCCTGAAATTTTTGAAGCTACCTTTTTTTCTGTGAATTTAAACATCATCAGAGTGTTAAAAATAACATTCTTTACAACTCCAAGAAGTTTCAGAAAGATAGAATTCCCTACAAGAAAGTTGGGACCGGAACCCTCGTTTTTTAGTGTCTTTTCTGACGGTTCTGTATGTAGCTATTGAGTAACCAGCATAATTAAAAATGTTCTGGGACATTGAAGACTTCAAGAATTTTTTTATATTTATTTTTAATTATATATAAAACAAATTTCAGCAGCATACAGCGCAGAAAAACCAAAAATCGAGGCAGAATGTAGTTTTCTTCTTTTTTTCATCCTGGCAAAAACTCTAATAACGTTCATATTCGCACCAAATTTGTACAAATCCAATTGGTCTGAGTATGGTCAAAAAGTCAGTGACGCGCCGCGTTTTTAGCAATGTTCTCCTTCAATAAACAACCGATTCAAGTGGTTTGAGAAGCTTATTAAGGCTAGTTGGCGTACTCACTCGGCGCACATCTGGATTTGGCGTTTGTCCACTTTGCCTCACTTCTTTCTTTTCCACTTCCGATCAGCTTTTTATCATCTCTCGAATAATTTTGTCTTGATTGAATGAGCTTTTTTTTTGGTCACTGTTCTGTGCAATAAAAAGGTTTTTTTTTTAGGAAGTTAGTTCTTTTTTGAACTTCATATTAAGCTAAAATAAGCTTAAAAAGATCAAGCGTTCGATTTGAAAATAGGAAAAAAAATTGAACGCTCGTTTACAAAGATTATCTTGAGCTCATAGAAAAAATCATCTATACTCCTCAGAAAGCCATCTGAGACGTAAATCTCATAATTGATTGAATTTTTGTTGAATCCCAGTGGAAAACACTCGGAAGCAAACATTTTTTTAGCCATTCCTGTTACTTTACCTACTACAAAATGAACCAGATCTGCTATAAACGAAAGAAAAAAATCAAAAAAAGTTTTTTACTCTAGTCTAAAAAAACTCGAGAATAAAAATCTCACTTCACGAATTCCATCCTCATTGCTTCACCTACCAGTAAATAACCTATGAAATGACCTTTGAATTTTCGGCGCAACCTCAGATGTTCCGGTCGGATGTTCTCATTTTCCAGTCTTTCATATTTCCGCCTCATTTCTTCTCACCCTTCCGCGATGGCAATAATAATTGAGCTAGAAAAAACTTCACTGTTTCATGCCACTGTATTTCACTTGCATTTTTCTTTATTCTCAATCCTCCGCCAGCTCAGAAATGAAGAACTGATGCAAATTTGAATTTTTTGCTGCTGTGAAAGTCCTTATCGAGTATTTTCTCAAACCAGCTGTAGAACAGTTATATCTACTGTTTTTGCAGTCTTTTAAGAATTAGTTGGTTAAAAAAGCAGTTATTCATAGATTCAAAGCTTTGGTTCAAAACTACTTGGATCTCAAATTTTTTTTCTTTCTTTAATTTTTTCAGTCTTGCTCTTTTCTTCACCTGTTAATAATATTGATTTCACTATCTATTTCGTTTCGTTCTGTCCCTTTTGAGCTATTTTCCTTTAAAATGATACAAAAACACTTAAGGAGCCCCTTCATCTAAACTGTCAGCACATGTTCAAGTGATGACAAATCGTTTTATATTTTTGATCGTCATTTCGACCAGCTTTAGTTTTCAAGCAACCGACTTTGAAAATGCTCGGGTTATGGGTAAGATCTTCCGATTATCATTTTTCAGTTATTATATCCATTTTTATTTCAGGCGTGCCTCAGATAACTTGCTCAAAGAAGAGTATTTCTGTAAATATTGACACGAATATCCCGTTTCAAGGAAGAATAACGGTTGAATGAAGTTTTTATTTTTGGAGGGCAAAAAAGGATTGCAGACAGTAAATCGAGTTTACGTTCCCGACTGTAATGAAGATTATTCAACGAATATCCAGAAGAACGCGTCTTTTAAATTGGATATCTCACGGTGTACAGACGTTCTTTACCTCAAGGTCTGTCAGTTCACAACCAAAAAAGAACTCTTTCGACAAAATAATCTCAGGAAAATCCGTTGTGTTATTTTAGGAAACTTGAAATTTTCAGTTATGGTAGTTGGAAGATCAAGGTTCCAATAAACTCAAACAATCCTCAAGTATCCCTTGAATGGTCAAATCACAATAAACAAGAAAAACACAACTCTTATGTAATATTTATTGTTCTGATGGGAGTAATTGAAGAATGGTTCGCGTGTTCTGACGGCTTACGTGGAAATCGGGTTCCATCCACTTGTCATAACCAACAGTGACCGCATCTACGCCGTCGAATGCCTCGACAATACGGCGCCGCCTGCACTCAGCGTCCCGACGCCGGAAGACTAGTGAGTTCAATAGAAAAAGTTTGAGGGTTATTACATTTTTGGGAAGGTCTCTCGGCTCAGTTTAAAAAGAACACTCTAAGTACAAATCAATGAAAAAACCAGCACTTTTTGTTTTTTGGTCAAAAAAAAATCGAAATTTTCCTCAGGCTCTTTTGTTATTTCTTTATAAGGCACAAAGTCGACTCTGAACTTGTCGTGGTTTATTTTTCTCACAAAACCAAGATTTTGATTTTTCTTTTTATAGAAGTTACTTCAGTTTTTGTAGGAAGATGTTTGTGTTTTTTCGGTTCTCTGCAGTATCTGAAGTTGCGAAAGATAATGAGCAAAAAACCATGAAGGTCTTTTCTTTTTTTCAAACTGGGAATTGCTTTATGATCTAATTTCCCCTACACTAAACAAGATTTTTTTTCCATAAGTCTCTCTGTAGATTTTTTTAGGTCATACACATCCAACCATGCTTTAAAAGAGACTGAAAGAACTACAAAATTTTTTTTGCAATCCAAAACCATTGCAAAAACGGCCAGTATATTGTCAACGTAAAAAAAAGTGTCATTATTATTTTTGCAGCAACTGTACACATTTGGTACGAATGGCTTCAAAATGGGAAAGCGTGTCCGACTTCCAAGTCGGCGATGCCATAGTTCATGAGTGGAGCTGCACGATCCCGAACAAAGGTATATTGATAATTATTCGAGTACAGCAGCAGCGTTTCATAATGTTATTGATACTTTTTGTGCAAAAAATAGTTGAGTCATTGTTTGATCAAGACAATTCAAATCGGAAGCAAAATCTGGCAAACAAGTATTAATTTTCTGAAATTATTGGGATACTACTCATATTGACACATTTTCATTTTTTGTTGGCTTGAAAAGAAGTTTTACAGAGCTCGGGAAAACTCAAATGTTCCTGACCAGTTGCAACGCAGTTTCACAAAATGGAAACGTCATTCATTTGATTGACGAGACCGGGTTCCAAGCTCTAAATTTCTTTTCATATTAATTCTTGGAAGATTCCAGATGTGTCATTGATTCCGAACTGATGGGCGATGTTGTTTATAATGCGTTTGTTCCGAAATTGTATTCGAGAGCAAAAATCTTCAAACTATTGACCGATGAAAAGTGAGTCTTTTTGTAATTATTTTGTTTTCTATTTCGAGGCAAGGTTCCGCATAGAGTGCTCTTTGGAATTCTGCCACAAAAACTCTGCCTGCAAGGATCGCGCGTTTGTAAGTGTCGTCAACATTCCGAACAAAATATTTATGTTCATGCAGCCCCCCAAATGTGCCTTCACAAGGGAGGAAATACTGAAGAGATTTGCGGAGGAGCGATCGGAAAACGACGGCGTCAACACAATTCAGCAAGGCATCAGCCAAATCTCTGAAACTTTGCCAAGAGCTATTTTAGGCACACCTGTGTTCGGTTACGACCGAAGGGTTCGCGTTAGCACTGATTGGCTGACTGTTAAACACAACCAATACACCAGTGTGAATCAAATAAACGAACGTAAAACAACAAGAAACTTTTCGGAAGTTTCGAAAAATTGTTAAGGTTATCGATTGCTCACCACCATGGATCCCAACTTCAAAGAGGACGTTTCCGCGCCAGTCGATCATTTCCTTATGTCAATTTCATATAGGTAAGCAAAGCCACAAAAACTTTCCTGAATTTATGGAAATCCCAACTTTACGACCTTTCCTTGTTCTTGCAGAGACCAAGCGAAACCAAAAAAACGAGATAAGGCTGCCGAAAGTCAGAAGATTGAAGCCGCTCGGAGCCTTCAAAGCGTAGCTCAACCTATTTTGAGTCCAGCTGTCGTGAATAAAAACCTCAACGTTCACTTCAATCTTTCACTTCAGGAATCGGAAGAAGATTTCATCGAATCCATCACGTCCAGCAGCAAACACGTCGAAACTCTAGAAATAACAGAGAACAAGTTGTTCAAACCAATTGTGGATCTATCCAAGTTGGGTCCGGAGAAAAAGCTGATTGAAAAAGACCCTTCATCAACTGTTGTGCCAACAATTTCTGTTACCAATTCTACTGTTTCTCCCCCTACAACTTCGACAGGGAAATCCACTAGCCCTAGCAGAATGGCAGAGGAAAAGCCGCTCACATCCGCCAAACAGTAAGACTTGTTTTCATGAAGTAGCTTTTACCATTAACTTAGGGGCAGCAATCTAAAAAAGAAGAAGAAAGAAAGTGTCCCTGTTTTCGGCACCATTACTGAACAAGTCCGAGGCAACGCTCAACCTGAAAAGTTAACGCGACAATCCACTGATAGCAGTCAGTTCGAAAACGCTCGACCTCCAGAAAGACCTCACAACAGTCCTGCTCAAATTCACTTCTATACCGATGCAACAAAGTTTTTCATTTTCATTTTAGCTCTGAAATCATACTTTCCCCAGAAAATTTACAAGAACGACACCTTATAGTTCACGGAAAATGACAACTGCGCCTCCAAAGATTACATCGTCTGAAGTAAAAACTCTTGACCTTTCTCTTTGAAAGAAACCCGATATGTTAAGAAAACCACGGACTTGCCGTTCAAAGTACAAGATACAACTTTTATGCAGCTGGTTCGAGAGGAAAAAAAACATGGTCATCAACCACGTAAGTTTTGAGCCATTTGAGGATGAGGATTTTTTCAATTATTCAACATGAAAAATAAGGAAAAAGTCTAGGAAAAAGTTGGTTGTACGAACTCCCTTGCGTTTATAGGACATTGAAATAAGTCTGCATTTTTTTCAAATGTTTGGTTTGAACTAGAGAAAGGATTTAAAAACCTTAATTACTCAAAAGCTCAAATTTTAAGAAAAGAAGCTTCAATGTTTTATTAATTTGTCCTGGAAAAGTACGCGATCTTCACTTTGTGAGCATTGGAGCGTTCCAAATAAGCTTCACGCTGATTTTTAAAGTTACTTTTGAGCGGAAAAATTTTTCACACGCGCTAAATATAATTTTCCTCAAGATATTTGACCGCTTTTTAGAAAACCAAAAGATCAAGGTTTCTTATCAGGAAGCAGAATGGCGAACAATGGAGCTGATTGGCGTCTGGATGACGTGGCCTTGAACGACACTGAAGTGACCCCTGAGAAACAAGTTTCCTGCGCTAACGCTACAATCATTTCGGTTAGGCAGATTCCAGAAAGTTTGCGAAGACGTAAAAAAAGATTTTTGGCTAATTTTCGACAGTTTTCTTGCTTTCTGAAAAATTTTTATGTAGTTGAGAGATACATAAATGAGACATTTTTTGAAAATTTTCAGGGGCAGCCGCTCTGCCGTTGGTCTGGCGTTGAGCATCTCCTTCTGATCTGGTCTTTCGCCTCGTTGCTCGTTTGGATGGTGATGATCGCCGTCTGTTTCTACCGTCATTCGAGCCGAAAACCTCGGTGGATGACTTTCAGGTCGGAGTTTCAAAACTTCGAAAAGTTTATGAAACATTGAAAAAACTGCTTCAATTCAGAATTCATTCAACGATCAAAAAATAATAGTCCATTTTTTGATAATAGAACTTTTTACAGTTTTTTTGTCTTTTGAGTATTTTTGAGTTAGCTGAAGCTAATTACGCCTCTCGAAATCACGAAAGATTTTAGGTTTCCAATATTCTGCTGGGCGAAATCTCCCACTGTGAAGCTATAAATTTCGCATTTCCGTGAATTTATTCAAAAAAATCTTGAGACATTCAAAAGTGAGACAACTTTATTCGTAATAAAATCTTTTCCGTTCTTTCGGAAACGAATCTTCACACTTTCCGTTTGCAATGGAAAGCTTTGAATGATTGAACTGTTTCAGATTTATTTTCCAGGCTTTCCTTGAGTTAACGATTCGTAAGCAATATCGAGAGTCGAGTCTCTTTTGCAAATCTGAACAAAATCGAGGAAATTACAAGAACTTCATCGAGTTTATCGCTTTTCGGAATTATCTTCGAAGTTAAAAATCCAATCGTTTGATTTCTGATCTCTTGTTAGGGGTTAGAGGTCAACTATTGGTTTTTTTCTGTTTTCCATAGACGCAACCATGAAAAGGTCAATTTGCAATGGGGGTGTTTTCCACGCAGACAAACAGATCAGAAACCAATCTTTGAAAGTTATTTCAGTGTCAATAGTCTATTTATAGATATTGCAGAGAGCAGGAGCTGAAGCGAGCAACGCAGTCGCGCGTTCTTCAGCACGAGCATCCGTGGCTCCACGCCGACGCTTTCGAAGAACGCAACCGTGGAAAACACGAGCTCGACATCAACAAATTCTGATCGCTGACATTTTCTCCGGCGCGATCCACCGAGCAATCACCAAGACAAAATCCTTCCACGATCAAATATCATTCGATTATTTATTTCACAATACCGTACTCTTTCAGAAAACCTGCTTGGCGTGTTTTCGAACTGAATGAACATTTTTCAGTCTAAATACGTCTTTGAACGGGAGAATCATTACAACAGCAAGGAAAACGCAATTTTGTGGAAAATCAGAAAAAATGGCATGTCTGAGAAGATTCATTATCTTATTCATGTTCAGAATAAGAAAAAAAAATATACAAGTATAATGTGAAAATCTTTATAGTCTTTTTTTAGACACCAGCCAGCGGCAAATGGAGTTTTCTCAGGTAATTTTTCACAGACGCTACAAATTTCACTTTCGATGCTATTTTTTCAGATTTGTAGGTAACTACAAAAAAAGTCCGTGTTGAAAAAAATGAAGAAAAAAATAAATTCTCAGAAAATAGGCATGCCTTGATGAGAATAGATCTAACCTAAAAATATTCATTTTTGAAATTTTCGAAATAGAATTTAAAGGCTAACTATTTCATTTGAGAGCTCATAAAAGTATGTTCTGCTCAAGTCTACAAAAGTCCAAAACTCAAATTATTGCGATTTTGCAAGTTTGGGCAGTTCAGAGAACAACCAATTGATTATTTCCTGTCTCGATTGATAAGTTTTCATGTCATTGTCTGGTTTCGAAGATATCTGAAGGTCATCGTTTCGAAACTTGAGGTTCCTTCAGATCTAACCGTGTTAGACAGATTCGAACGATTCTCGAGTTCGCCTCTCACAAGTATTTTCGGTAAATCGAAATTTGGAACGAAAAGTCTCATCACTGACAAGGAAGGTCGTTGTACATAGCGGTTGAGATTTTTTGGAAATTGGCCTGATGTACCAGAAGAAGATTTTGAGAGTCTCAACCTGCAAAATTTCCTCATTTTTGAGAAAATACGCCTCGAAGTCAAAGAAAACCCAAAAATTCATTAAAATAGGCTATTTTGCGCTCTCGGCCCTTATAGGAAGTTGTGCAGTTTAAGACTTTCAGAATCTTCATCTGGTACGATATGGAGTTTTTTGGCCAATTCACAGAAAGAAATGACCTCCCCTGAGTAATATTGACTCTTAGAATCTCAACTTGCAAAGTATGGAATTCATTAATTAATGTTTCTTCATAGTTATATTCTCGTTTTTCGATTCAAAAGGCTGGAAACTTTGAAACGCTTGCTTCTACAAACTAGAAATCTGTTCATTTTTCGATCTCCAAGGTTTCTACCCAGGAAGTTATGATAAACAGTCTTTTAAACTTTTTTTTCCCTGCGACACTAAGAGGGTTAGATGTGGCGCTGAACAGCAGGAAAAAGGAAAGTAGTACACAGGTGCATTAGCGATCTTTCATCCTTTCCGTACTGGATTCGGCGAGTGACTGACGAGAGGGGACCCCAAGGACAAACGGGCCCTCGCGGCCAGCCGGCTGCCGTTTTTTTCTGCTTTTCGCGGATGAACTCTGTGCTCCGCGCGTGGCTACAGCTGCTCCTAGACCTCGGACGTCTGGAAAGTCAATACTCCAAGATGAAATGAGAAACGTCGCAACAAAGATCAGAGAGTGCAAAACGTGCTCGAAATCCTTCTCGGTTTTGTAACTTTGCTCTTTCCTCCTGATCACGTAGACATTGACATTGACGACCGCTGATAAGGGCGTTAAAAATATTGCTGGTGCTGGAGGGTTTTTATGGTCGTTATGGTGCGTTTGACAAGATCAAACATGGGACGTTAACGGCCTTTGATTTTCCGCTCTCCACGTCTTTCTGTAGTGTCTCTCCGGTCGGAAAAAAATTTCCGTCTATGCGGTTTTTAATCTTTACGAAAGGAAATGACCGTTGCCTGGGTGGTTGAAGTGGGTCGGCTGATTTTTGAGACCACAGAACGCAAAGAACGGAATTCCACCTCAATGCCTGGTGTAAAAACTCAAACAAAAAATGGAGCATTTTTTCCTTTTCAGTTCAGATGCAGTTTCCTGTGAGGGATTGGAAAAAAAAAACTGAGTCCTGCCTGAAGATATTAGTGAGTACAGAGATTTCCAAAGACAATGAAAACCCTTTTTTGGGTAACTCTCAAAATGATTAAATTTTTCAAAAATCCTTTTTTTTTCAATTTCTGATATACCCAGCAAGAAACTAAACTGAAATATAATCGTCCCCATATTTCAGAATTCTGTTTCAGCGCTTGAATTATTCTCATTAAATGGAAATATCAGTACAATTTCCGAAAAATAGGTCCAAATTCAATTTATTATGATTTCATCATGACAAATTCTATAAAGTTCAAGTTGTTTTCAAAGTTCAAGCAGTTCAGCCAATTTCGAGACCACCGGGGACAAAAAGTCAAATAGCGTCATGAAAAGGCTTTTCAGACCAATTCTTTAAAGTTTTCTCGAGCCTTTCTTGGACGTAAATAGTATAAGGCTGTCAAAAAGAGAGTAAGAGGTCAAAGCACATTTCACCTCAAAGAATGCATGACGCATGACGTTACGACGCGGTTAGTTTTTGCTCTCTGGACGAGTTTTTGATAACGGTATTAATCCAACTAATCTGTATGAACGCTCCGAAAATGATTTTGTTTGATTTTTTATGTTCTGAAACAAAACGAACTCAGAAAAACTGCTAGTATGAGCTTGAAGATCCTGCTTTCAAGAGGCGAAATTCTTGGTAATTTTGACAAAACCTTGAAAGCCTTTATGCTGTTTTAAATCTTCCCGAGTTTTCCTATAGAAAGATTACCATCGAAATCATATTGAATACTAAGCAAGCTGTTTTCGAACTCTGATGGCAATTCCCAGAAGAAACGTCCACTTGAAGGGAAAACGAAGAGGGTGATCTTTGTCTCTGAGTCTGAGTCCACTATAGCTTTTTTTATGCAGCGGCGGGACGAAAGAGCATTCATCACTTCCGGCCTTCCAAAGAAGGTTTTCTGATCAGAAGCCTTTCGGTGGGAATACTCCGACAAAATTTGCGAAAAATTATGATAAACTCTAGCAATAAATTTTTTGTTTAAGCTCTAAAAAAACACTGAATTCCGAAATCTGAAAAAAATAAGAACAAAAAAATTCGTCTAATAAAGTGAAAATTGAAAAAAAGAGGGCATCTTTTTCGCGATTTTAAAAAGAAGTCGTCATTTATCGCGCCTGGTCCGCAACAACGGTCCAAAATATGTTTTTTCTAATCAGGGATCATAGAGAAAGGCAGCCTGCTAAAATTTCTTGTTTCAGGAAAACGCTTATTTCTAAGTTTTCATCGAAGCAATTTTTCAAGCTTTGAAAAAAATCATCTCGAACAAAAATTCATGCAAAAAACAACGATCAAAATTAATTTTTTTTTTCCAGAGAGTTTTGTCAAAATTTGTGAATTTCAAGCCTCATAAATGCGTTTTATTCTATAATGTAGAAAAAATTGTTCACTGTTCGATATGCGATGAAAATTAGGTTTTTATGACCATTTTTGGTTTTTTGATCTTCTGATCTTCGCAATAAAATCTAGAAATTGAAGAAATTTCATCACTTCCGGGGTATCGAGGAAGAAGAGAATCTGCTTTAGGAGAAGATTCGCCAAAAGGCAACGGGAGTGCATTCGAGATGCTTCCGCAGTGTGAGTCAGTCGATCTCTGCGCTTTGTTTCTGCCTACTTCTGGCGCCGATGGCGAGCGATAAAACAAGCCTCTGTTTTGTTGGTGCGGAGGCGCGCAATTGTCATATTGCTTTAGCCTCAGCTCGGGTTTGAAAAATCTCTACTTAGCCGGGTGGCGGGAAAAGAGAAACGCTGCCCTTTCAATAGTGCAATACACTCCAATCAGGTTTAAGATGGGTCAAAGCATCAATTTTCGGCACTTTGGTCACACTTCCGCGTAAATTGCAGACCTTTTTCTTCAATGTGAAGTCTAATATTTTGATTTTTATGAGGATAATTGATAACCCAACATCTTTGTTCACAAAAAAAGCCAATTTTTTTGGGGGTGGAATCATAGGCTGGAAGCTCGGATTATTAATTTTATCAGACCAAAAATTTTTATTTTCATTAAATTTCTACAGCGAAGCTATATTTTTTTCGTAAGTCGTATGGTATTTTTTTGTTAGCTAAGATCAATTTTAGTTGAAAATTAATTATTAGATGACCCCTATTGTTTTACAAAGCTGAAAAATAAAAGATTTCTCTAAAGAATCTGTGGTTCTCATGGTTTATTCCGACCATGAGAACCACAGATTATTTACCCTTTTAAAAAAATTTTTTTCATGTGATTTTTCAGGATGAAAAGATGAAGGTGACTGAAATTGCAAAAAGCAAAAAGGGTTTAAAGTTTATATTTATATTCAATGATTAAAATTAATCGTTATATTTTTTTAAAAGAAAAAAATATGATCAGCCATTCATCTAAATTTCAAATTTTGCGATCGTAAGAAAAGAGCTCGAGTATCTCGGTTGCAAAAAAAGCCGAAACGACTAAAGAGCGAGATTTGATCTTTGAGCTTTTCCTGCTGCATATACTGACTTTCAGTTGTTTTAGAAAGCAAAAACTGAGCAAAAAAAGGAAAAAAAGAAAGGGAGACTATTCCTTAAGAAGACCTTCGCAAATCATTTGCTATCGGCGAAACACGGATTTACCATAATCAAAAATTTACATTTGATATTCGTGTAATTAGGGTGAAATATCCTATTTGAAATAATATTGAAAATGTTCCGTTTTTTTTCGCTCCTAGAAGATACTGTAAGATTTCTATCGACAGCTGAGCCCCGAAAAGTCGAACAAAAAATAGAAAAGGCTTAGTAACAGATCGGTCCCTTAGCGAAGATTAGTCAAAAAGTTCTTCTAGGCTCTCTTTTCCATAGTTACTTAACATTAGGAATATGTAAACACGGCGCGCAAATATTTCCCTGAAAGGACATCAGGCTATCGGCGAGTGGTTTCTTTTTTGCGATCTTTTAAAGATTAGCCTGAACCCCGAGGAAAACTGAAAAGACCAAAAACCTGAGCCTGGAATAAACAAATTTAAAACAGGCCACTCTCGACGAGAGTAAATAGAACTCTTGAAAAGTTGAATTCGAAGATCATTGTGAGGAAAACCTGCCTATGCTCGGAAGCATGATAGTATTTAGGTTGATAGAAGTAATAGTTTATTTTTTGAGAAAGGAAAATCCAGAAGAACCGGAAAACCTACTAGAGTTTCTAGTTTGACAATTGAAAACCCTTCTCACTTGAAAATTGGTTTAAACCAGTATTTTTTGAGAAGCCGTAAGCTTAGTTTGATGTTTCTCGTCGAACTGCAAAAAGCTAACGTTCTAAAAAAATGGCTATAAAACTCGAAATTTTTCTTAATGATTGCTTACCTCATAGACAAAAAAAACTATTTTTTCATGACTTTTTTCAAAAAAGATGAAGTTCATTTTTTAATTTATCGTCCCATAAATTGCGTCTGCAAGGTTTCCCTCTTTCCAAAAATGCTCAAGCAATGTTCAAGCTTTTTTTTGCAAGTTTCAACGAACTGATTCTTCAGTAATCATTAAGAAATAAATGTTGTATAGTCAACCAATTCAAGAGAAAAGGGAATGAAAATGTTTCTGACGCGTCCGTGACGCACCTGCGTTCGTTGAAAACGGAACTGTACAGAACGAACTAGCGGTCTATCGACGGCCTTCCATTTGTACTACTACAACATACGTGCCTCACTTCAAGAACGGAAAAAGCCGTCTGATTCACCTCGCCTCGGGGCATTGTGTCGCAACTTCCAGGCCGTTCTCGTATCGTACAAGATTGCTGGAGGGCATGAGTCAGCTCAGGGGGCAGAACGTCGTGCCCCGGCCAGTGCTCCTTGCTTCAAACGTGTCCAGAACTCGTCCTGTCCGGTCGACTCGACTCGACATGCAGTCCATCGTTTCGCAGATTTATGGTGAGGTTTTGAATTTTGACAAACCGAGGTTCAGCTGGAGTTCAACTGGATGCTGGTCATTCAGAAAACGTTAATTCCTTTAACTAAAAAACTGTCAAAAATTATTTTCAGTAGTTTATTCGCTATTCTAGTGACTTTAAAAAGTTCTTATACTTTTTTTAGATCGAGGAACCCCAAAATTGTATAAAAAAATTCTGTCAGCCCAGTTTTTTTATGCAACTGAAGAGTGTTGAACCGTTCTCCTGATACACATATTCAGTGCGACCGACCTCCAAAGACTCACGCTGACCGCTTCGCAATTTAGTCGAACTATTAAATTTTAGTCTTTATTACGAAAGCTTATCTCTAAACCTCACCGAAAAAAGAGTTACTCTTATAGAGTTAGGTAAAAGGAACAGGCTTCAGAATATTCTTGTGTCATGCACGAAAAAGAACTCTCAGACAAGTCAGATCCTTTCAAATAGCGCCAATTACAGGATCAGCTTCCATAATGAAGCCTAAATTTATCTCCTCGCGAGTTTTTTTCCAGTATGTAGGAGCATGAAAATCTACTTGCTCATTAATCTTGCCGACTCATCTTTGAACTCAAAAACAGTGGAAAATGTCAGACTTTCTAATTAGAAATAATAGAGAAGTTCGGCAAAGTTCAAAAGATTGAAGGCTCGAAAGTCTCTTTTTTGTGGTCTACGGCTACAATTTTCGTTGAAAGCTGGCAGCAGCTGTCCGTTAGTCACAGAAGAAGTTGATCTCTAGCAAAAAGGCTGATTCACGAAGCCAGTTTACCGTATTCTCTAGAGAAAGGACTGAAAGTTACCACAAATAAAACAAGGCTCCTCCTTGCGAGACCAACGTCCTTTGGTGTTTGGTCCGTAGAATGGCGCGAGAAGAAAACTCCTTATAGAGCCGTGCTTTTGGTCTGCTGCTTCTCTGCAACTCCTCCGTTCAGTTGGCGTTTGCCGTATTCTATCGCGGAGTGAAGCGCGATCGCTTAGCTCGAAGACCTCCCATACAAAATGGAAAAGCCCCACAGTGTCGCATGGCCTCCGTCGCTTTGACAAAAATTGTAAATAACTTTTAGAACCCGCAAAATGAACAACATAGCAACACAACAGTTCTTTAGATACATGACATCATTGGGGGTGGAGAAATAGATGATCGCGGTGCAAAATTTTCAATGAAAATGTTTTTGTGCTCTTTCGCCCGCTAAAAGATCACCAGTTGTCGGTCTAGTATAAATATGCCGAGGTCCTCAGCTGAGCGAGATGGCTGTCTTGTTAAGGAGCTAAAAATAAGAAATATTTTTGCGTCTGAGGCGTATAGTCAGTTCTTTAAGATTCTAAGGAACTTGAATAGTTTTCAATCGTAAGATTTTTCATAGAGGAGATTGTCTTTCTTGACATATTTCTTTTTCAATCTATGAAAAATCATTTTATTCATGTCTAAATTCAAGTTTCGGTTTTCCTTTTAATAGAATGATCCTCGGCAGTTCTAAGAAAACACCCAAAAGAATTTGTGCATCTGACTACTTTTTTCCCTAAAAACGAGCTTATCTTCTCTTCGGCTCGTTATTTTTCCATTCCCTATTTTCTCAAAATGAGCCCAGAGTTCTTTCCTCAGCTGATTTGTTTTCACTTTTTCTCTGAATATCAGAACATGACGCATAAGACACCTGCCCTTTTCTGAACCTGTGCTTCCTTGTTTATTGCCCAAAAAAGGTCAGATGTGGGTATAACGTTTCGGCGAACGTACACGTCGCTTCTCTAGGCAATTTGCGAGCCTTAGTACAACGGAGTCGGGCTGGGGGTGCAGAAGCAAGGAAAAAGCATTTGCTTCTTCCTGGTCTCCGCTCCGCCTACTCTACTGGCCGTCGCAGCTATTTTGCTCCTTTTGAGAACTTCTGAATGGCGCTTTTTTAGCTTTGGTAGTAGTCAGGATGAATAAGTTTTTTGGTTTATTTTGAATTCTTTCGAAATTTTTGAAAGATTTTTTTCCATTTGAGAATCGAGAAACATTCTAAATTCTGCTAGTCGACCCCGATTACTTTTCAACAAGGCATACTGTAATTTCGAAACGTTTGCGGAGTCTTTGTTATCAACGGAGTTGGTCTGTTAGTGGTCTCTCAGAGGCGATCTCTAGCTGTTGCTGTTCAATTGTAAAGCAACTTTTTTGCTCCTCTTCTTGCAAAGATCATCGAGTGGGAGTCACTTGGGAATCGTTCGCTTTTGCTTTTTTCTCAGTCCATAGTACGCTTAGGTAGCCGTTGCTGTTCAAACAGACAACTGGAGTGCATTGTGAAACGCTATTAAAAGGCCGCACCTCCCGCGGTACGATGATCTCTGAAGTCTTCCGCCTTGCTGGATATTCCTTTACACCTGTTTCTCATAACGGCTATTTGATAGCCAGCTTAGTTTTTGTTTCTCACAAAAATAACGACCGTGGTTTTAATTTTGCTGTTTGGTGTTGAATGAAGCACCACGTGAATCAGAATTTTCAAAAGAGAAACACCATTTTTTCGTGAAGGAGTTCTTTCCTAAGGTTTAAAAATTGTGAAACTCTCGGCTTCACTAAAAAGTTTGACTTGGACCATACCTACTCAAATGAACTTACTGAACGTTTTGATTTTCTAAGTTTCAGCACCAGTTTTTGACGATTTCCTAAAAAACTTTCCTTTTTTGAATTTCGATAATCAAAGCTAATGAATGGTATTGCACTGAGAGTTTTTTTGGCGCCTTTTAAGGCATGGAAAGTTTTCTGAACCGTATTTAGGTTAACTTCTGTTTTTTTGGTTTAAAAAAAGAAAAAAAAAATGGATCAAAAAAGCCTCACCTTTAGAAGACATTTTTATACTTCTAGACAAGTTATTATTTTCGTTACTTTTTTTTTCGATCGAATACAGTAAGGCGTTTGAAAAAAATCTATGAGAAATTTCCATTCAAAAACTCAAAAACCGAAAATTTCACAACAAGGATAATTTTTCAATTTTTACAATGACTTTTATGACATAAACTTAAGATCTTATGATTCTTCGAGGAGTATAATTCTCTTCAGGGCTTGCTCGCTTAAAGATTACTGTAAGTTTTTGTTGATGTGTTTGTGCGCAAGGAAAGGTCGTTGATCGTACGCGTTTCCCAGTGATCACAAAGCCACGCCCCCGTCGCAGAGGTGGCCCCACCTATCTCAGTGTTGGCCGAGTTCATTTTTTCGAAACTTGGTCCTTAGGCACTGGTCGCTGCATCTGGCGGACGATAAAGTCAAGAAGACGGTTATCATGACTTGGAATCTGTCGGATGCAGCAGTCTGTACTGATAAGGAGCGCGCACCTATTCCTCTAGAGATCACAAAGATCAAACGAGACGGTGCCAGTGAAACAACCAGCCGTAGACACTCCCCTTCATAGAGACCTCCCACCTTTTGCTTATATTCTATTCCGTGTTGAGGTGTCTTGCCACACCGCTCTTCCTATCTTCTTCTCTAATTTTTTTCATAATAAAAGTGATGGCAAACTTTCATTTCTATTCTTTTCTTGTTTTTAATGTCGTTCACTTTAGTGCTCGACTAAAAATTATTCTGTTTTTGTTTTTTTCTTCTTTGATGCTTTAGGTAGAGGCGTCCATTTGGGAACGACGCCAACAACAGTTTGAGTCGTTTTTCAAAAATCGCGCGTTGTCCTTTGATCGCCGAGCTTGTTGCTATTTACGACGTCTAGTTCTATTGTTGTCACATGCCGAAGCGAGGGAGGAGCCTCAATAGTCTTGGTTTTTCCGTGGTCGCTTATCCAAACTCCGCCTATTCTTTTTCGAAGCTCCACCTCTCTCCTCCGTCTTTTTTTTTGCCCTTTCCGGATTCTGACTCAGTCTCATGCAGTACTTTTGAAGAGACATTTCTGATTTTTCTTTCATTTTAGTTTTCACAATACTACTTTACTTTTTCTTCACAACTCTTAATAATTCCAACTTTGTTTCATTTCACACTTTCTATCTTTTTTCATCATACTTATTTTTAAAAAAATTACTCAGACTTTAGTATTCCATGAAAATTTCGAAATTTAGCGACGATTCATTCAGCAGCGACTCGTTAACACTGTCCCTTTGATCATTGGTCATATATTGTTTGCAGAAATGACAGACGCTGGAACTTCTACAGCAGCAATGGCCTTCGCAGCACTCATGGGCTGTGGATCTCCCAGCCAAGCCGCTTTCGCAATGGAATCTTTACTGAAACCCGAACTCGCCGATTTTGGAGCCAACAGTGGCCACAACAGTTCGAATGAGGAATCATCAATTTGGTGAGTTTTATGATGAAATTCAGAAATAGGTACCGATAAGGAAAAGTGTGGTGATTGTTGGGAAAGTGCGTGATCCGCTCGTTGTGCTTTGATCTCTCGGTCTCTGCGGACCTTGCTATCTAGCGACCTCTCCCCATAGAGGTCGTCTAGCGACCTTCGAACTGTTCACGTAGACACACATTGCGCATTGCGCAGGTATTTGAGAAGGCAACCAAAGCAACTAAGTTTCGAAAGGTGCACTTGACAAAGAGATGTTTGTAGAGTTTGTTGCAAGTTTTTTCGAAAAGCTGAAAATCAACTTCTTAATACATATTCTCAATTCATCGAACGCGTCAAGCATATTTTTCAAATTTCAAACAGAATAATAATTTCTCGCGTAGAACGTGAGAGAAAAATTTAATTTATTCTTTTTTTTCCTTTGGCATTTTTGATTTGAAATAATTTATTGTGAATATTAATTCCTTACGTCAAGTAGTTCACCGTACTTCGGTTTTTGATCCCAGACAGACGATCGTTGCTCCCCGAAAGTCCTCTTTGTGGCGCGTTAAACAGAGCGCAGCGCGCAAGATCCGGTTTTGAGAGATCACCAACAAAGCGACGAATTCTCCGATTTTTGGTTGTACATTTCCTCATCAAGGGTTTTGCAGCTCGGTATGTTGCGATGAGGCGAGCGGTCGACATTATGGAGTCGTCGCCTGCTTCGGATGCAAGGGATTCTTCCGTCGCACTGTAAGAACATTTCAAAATCATCGTCTCTGAAATGGAATTTGCAGGTTCGAGCCGGAAAGAATTACGTCTGCAGATACGAGCAGAAATGCAGAATTGATAAAGGTTCGGTTTGAGTTTCCAGTCTCTGTCCCCATAAGGTAGCGATAAGATGTAGACCGTGTTTGATCTTTGATATGGGCCCTCCCCCGCGACCTGTGTGTTAGTCACAGAACGCACAGATCACTCAGACCTTGTCTGGTTGGTCTTTCCTCTCACCCAACCTTTCGTCTAACGCGCGGGGCCGCGCTTTGTCGGAGAAATCTTTGATTTCCAAAGTGCAGAATCTCTTCATCTGAAGTCAAAAGACACTTCGAATTGTCTAAAATCTCTTGACCTCTTAAACGGATTTGATAAGATTGAAAATGATGGATGATACCCCGCTCGAAATCGAAAAAGAAAAAAAAGACACTGATAATCTTTTATCTTTTCAGCTGGTCGCAATGTATGCCGATCGTGCCGCTTCCAAAAATGCCTCGAAGTCGGAATGGAACCTGATGGTTAGTAGAACTTTCGAATTTTCCAACTATTGGTCGAACTTGACCTGTCTGGCGCGTGAATACAGTTGATTCATGTGTGACCTTGCGCCCTTAAAACTTTTTTGGGACCGTTTCGCGGAGAAACGCATTTCCTGCGGTTTTTGATGTTTGCAATATTACATCTTGAAATTCCAAGAAGGTAATTAAATCAAAAATTTACAGCCATCCGACCTGACCGCGATAAGACTGGACGTCAAAAGAACCCTCGCCGAAATGGACATTCCATGTCTTCCAACTCTTCTTATGATAGCAATGGAAAGAAATCATCAGTATCTTCCATGCTCGGAGATTTACCATGTGTTAAGCCTAAGGTACTGAAACGAGAAGAAAAAAAATCATTTAATTCCATTTTTTAAGGATGACTCCGATGACTCGGGTTATTCTCAATCTCCACGCTCAGGAAGCTCAGCTTCTCCAATGGATATGCGACCTTCGATTGTCGACGAATCCGTCCTAACCACTCTTTGCGAGATTGAAAAGATCATTTTGCAACTACGAGACGTCGGAGTTGTCTCTCCGTTGAGCAGCCCTTCCCTAATTGAAGCTGTCTCTCGGCCTTCTCTTTTGGCCTCAAGGACACCGGTCAGTTTTTATCTTCACACAAAATCTTTCCGTTTAACCTTGGATTTTCAAGTTTCGACATGAATTCAAAAATTTGATTTCAGCTGAACTTCAAAGGCGACAGTGGAGATGCGAATTTGGAGTGTGTCATTGACAACGTCCGACGTCTTTTGGTGATGGTTATCGATTACGTTAACACGCTCAAGCCGATCGCCGACATGAACTATGACGAGAAGGTAGATTTTGACTCCTAAGAGACAAAAAGGGATGGAAAAATGGGTGAATAATGGTTATTTTTCAGATCATCTTGATCAAAAACAGTGTGATGCCGTACACTTTGCTTGTTGTCGCCTTCCAAACCTACATCAACGGCTTCACCAACACGGAAACAATCAACTTGCCCTCGGGCCATCACCTTTCCGCCAAAGGTTCTTTGTTTGCCCAAAACGAGGATGACAAACGCCACGTCATTCTTGACGCAAAGGCCGAGTGAGTTTTTGGATTTCAACACCCTCAAAACTCCCAGAAAAGTTAATAAAAATATATGTTTTCAGTTCGATCCGGAAAAACCTTGTTGAAAGCGTCGTGAGCCAACTGAGGAAGCTTGAAGTCACCGAGACCGAAATGGTAGCATTGAAAGCAATTTTGATGCTTGACCACAATGTCAGAGGTCTGACAGCAAGATCAAGTGCCCTTCTGCTTGGTAAATAGAACTAAAGAAAGTTCATTTAAGCAATGAGATTATTCTTCAGTTGCACGCGAATCCGTTCAAAACGCTCTGTTCTCCTACTTACTACAGAAGACTGGCCACACCGAAGCGACAGCACGATTCGCCCATTTACTGATGCTTATCGCATCGGTTACGGTAAGATTGAAAAAGCGTGGGCGCCGATGATTGGTTCATTTGTTTTCAGAAAGTCGCCTACTCAACCGCAACCTTTTTGCAAATGAGCAAGGAAGTGAGCTATTCAATCGACTCTGTGATGGACGAACTTTTGCTCCATGAGTACTAAGCAGCCCTCGGCGTTTTTTCTTACACCCCGCATCTAATCACAATTTCTGTTCGGGTAGAGCCTGCGTGTTTACGCAATTTACTATGGTGAACTCATGTCCAACTCAGTCATTGACATTTCGTGATCATGAATATTCCACACTTCTTACCTACGTCTTGTGTCCTTTTTCCCGGTCTCATCTCTTTCATATAACCTGCGCGTATTGTTTTCCTTCGAAATCATATTTATTGCACTTGGCTCGTATCGTTGCCTATTTTTGGTTGTTTTTTTTTTATTGCAGCTGTTATTTGTCATAAGATTGTTTCATCCGGATAGACGTTCGTAGCTGTTACTTCCCTTTGATTCCATTTCCTACTGTACATAACTGTGCTTTGGGTATGTGCTTCACTGTTTCTCACTAAACCAAAAATAATTATTAATAATATTATCATCGAGCTGCTTATCATCCAGTGATGGTGTTTTTTCTTTCATTGACTCGATCTTCAGTGCAACACTCGCTGCGTTGTCAAACCCCCGTGGAGTTCTTTCATCATTTCTTAAATTCCTTATTCCGTTTCCCGAATGCTTCATGTATCGCCATCCGTTATCAGCAGCATATTTTTATTGTTTCTTAAATAAACTGTACTTGTTAACCATTTCAATCTCAAAAATTGTCATAAACCATTACTCAAATTGTGAATGTTTTTTGATAAAAATTCTTTATTTCAAAACAAGTCGTTGGGAGGAAGAAATTTGAGGTTATTGAGACCAATTTGAAGAGTATGAGTTCGTCGCCCAAAAACCAGAGTACTTGGAAGCGAGGCACGAAAATAGATTGAAAGCAACGAAATGCGTCCCAGGGTGGAGAACGAAGAGAAGGGAGAGACTGAGCGAAGGAGTAGACTTCTTTCGGCTGGTGTTTCGTTGTAACCTCCAGCGCAAGGGCTGCAAGGCCAAAGTGTTGAGCGAGGCGCTCTTTGGTCGTCATACTTCGGACGCTGGGATGCGTTGTGCTTCGGCCTTTCGTCCTGTCCTTGGGCGCTCTCTTGGGCCTTTCCGCCAACATTTCCAGTTGAAACCTTCCAAGCCATCATCTTTGGTGATTGGCAAGGAAAAAGGCTCATTTTTGTCTTCTTTGCAAAATGACAGTTCCAAGTGTCTTAATCGGGCCGCTGATATCGGAAAAGTTATTAAACCTGATCCTTGAACGATTCCACATGAAAAGAACGTGTTGAGTTTTTTTGAATAATATTACGGAATTTTTCAAAAATAATACCTCAATATTTTTCATAAAGCTGAGATGAGCAGTGAATGTAAAGGTTCTGTAGAACTTGCTACATCGCTCATATTTATATGGATACCATTTTTTTTAATTATGTAGCTGCAAACTTGAACATTTTCTAAAATTGAAGTTTATTCCCAAAAAGCTTAAAAAGTGCTTTTTTGATCGCGTTTACAGTAACGAAAATTTGTGAGTATTTTTTAATTTTTTTTTCCGTAACTTTGTCAAAAACCATCATTTTGACCTGAAATTTCACCAATACATGTGAAACGCTATTGACAGTTTGGAATAATGATTTGAACCGATTCCAAAAACAAAAAAAATTATTTTTTTGATTTTTTTAATTGCAATCAAATCGAATAAAAAAACTCAACAAAGCCAGTAAACCGGTATAAAAAAACTTTTTGATTGAAACAATCAAGTTAAACGGATTAAACGCTCCGTTGCATAGCTTTTGTATTTCATAACAACCTTGCATCTTGAAGGCATCGACTCGATAAGTGTGTCCAACACGTTCATTGGGATCTTCTTCTGAGCTTCTTCTATCTACTTCTTCAAAGTTTAAGGTCAAAAAAATTTGTCTGATAACAAAGTTTATCAGAATTTCAGGTCAAAAAAATCTTTTTCAACAGAGTTAAGAACGAAAAACCAAAACAATCATTTTTCATGAAAAAAAATACTGTTATTCAATTTTTTTCAATACTTTGAACGTTAATAGTTTAAAATTGTAAAAATAACCGTTTTTCATTGGATTATTGAAAGGTTGTCATTAACTTCGGCGTACACGAAAATCACAAAAAAACGTACTTTTTTTCATCTTAATCATAGTATGAGAAATATATCCCAGTAACTAGATTATCGCAATTTTTGTGAGACTAGTGAATCAAGAAATTATTCAGTCAGAAAGGTGTTTTTCTGGTTTTATCAAAGGTTTTCTGGTCAATAAATCAGAACTCAATCGGAGAGCACTGGTCGATGGACTCGAATTTTCCTCGTGCCTTCGGGCTCTCCTTCGGCGTGTTTGCCGGCGATCGACCAAAGGCAAGCTTCGCATAAACACGGTTACGATCGCATCAACACCGCAACGCACGTGAAAACAGTCCTGTTGCCTTCAAGCGACCAATGTTCAGATAAACATCAACTTAGTGATCTGCTCGGTCTCCTTTTTCTTTCGCAGAGAACAGTTAGTGCAATATTAAAACATGTTTTTGGCAGCCGTTTGCAGGGATTAGCGCCCGGAAAGCGATCTTTCGATCACGTGGATTTTTGTTGTCTTCCCAAGCTTTTTATAATAACTTAGTGAGAGAAGTCGTTAGTAAAGAAATCGAAAATGGGAAAATTTTGATTTCGAGTTATAATTCTGGTATACCAAGTCCACCGTTTACACAACAGAAACCATTAAAAAAGTTTTCACGAACTGGTCTCCTAACCCTTTTTTTATAAATCGTTTTGAGATAGAAAAAGAAAAAAAACTGAGCAACTTGTAACATGAAAAAAAACTGTCAACCTCTATGATGTAAAAAGCTTCATTTATGCGGTTCAACCTGTCAAACTTGATGAAAATCCCAAAATTTCCTCTCTTTTTCAGGACAGATTGCAATAGTCAAACATTTTTTACGGCTTCAATACATATTGAAACATGACTGGAAAAATAAATCCCTACACATGGCCAAGCTTTTGATAAAACGGCTTAACTACTTCGGAGATACTTCTTTCGCAAATAGGATTTTAGTGGTTCTGGCGTTCGCTGACTGTGAAGAGCAGCCTAAAAAACTTTGATCACTAGAAAATTTTTTTGAAGGCGAAGGGAACATTTTTTTTTCAGTTATGTTACTCAAAGGACTTTGGTGATATCCAAAACCAAGCTGATTTCAGGCAGCTTAACTATTACGAGAAAATTTGATATATTCTGTTCTCTGAGTTGCTTCTGATGAAATTCTCCGTTTGTTTAGAAAAAACGATACTTAAGTTAAGTTTTCGGGTTCAGGTTTGCGAACCAAAGTTCGGGAACCTTGATCTTGCTGTTTCGTTCTTTCTAGAAAAGGAGAGAACGTCCTCGGAGAAACTTTCTACTCCACGAACGAGTCTTTGCAGGTAACTGTAGCAAATCGGTGCGTGTGACTTCCCGACCGAAAAAAATAAAAAAGCGGCAAACAAAGGATCACTTTTTAATAAGCCAACATGTCTATTTTCGTTGAACCGGAGTGGTGCCACTAACATTTTCTAAACCAAAGCCTCGCGCCTTCGGTCTTTGATATTCAGCGGAACGAGAGCTGTTATTGTTTTCCGGCCTTCCAGCCAATCTTTAGATGCACACATACACTTGGTTCAAGAGATCCTCCATGAGATACATAATCCAGTTGAAAAATGGTTCGACCTTGCGCGCCTTTGGCTGCTCCCTTGTGGAGGAACAGGACCAAAAATCAAATTTCGCAAGTCTTTCCCATTTTTCCCTTCTTTTTCGTTGTTTGCCATCTCTTGGGCATATAAGCGTTCTGCCAGAGAACAATGTGGACCACGCAGAGGTTTTTGAGTCGTAAAGAGAAGTTTTTTGGGCGAAAGCGAATGAGTTGCCTTTCAAAAGGGGTTAAATTGATGTTTTGTTCTCGAAGAGAGCTGAGTTCAAAAAACAAATACGTAGTCGATTTCGATCCTCAAAACTTGAATGTTAAGTAACCTGGTCTTTGATTGGGAATTTCCGACGGAACTAACGTCGAAATTTGGCGTCGAAGTTCCTTTTCAACGTGACGTGACGTATGATTGAACAAAAACAAAATAAACCAGCTTGAATCGTGAAATGACAGTATACATTCCAGTGACGTATGTCTTACTCATTAAGAGAGAAGATTAATATGAGATTTAAAAAAGCTAGCTTACCAGAGAAGCACCATGTACACGGTAGTTTTTCTTTCAAAGATATTTTAACTAAAAACAATTTGCTTTTTTTACTTTTTTTCTTTAAGTTATTTCCCGCAAAGTTGTATCAACCACTCAAACGGTGTTTTTTTCAAAAAAATTTGTGAAACTTCGAAAACCCCAAGGTTTGTGGATAATCTTGGGATTTAAATTCATTTTTTTCTTATTTTATCAAATCAATAACAAATTTTTCCAAGATCTGAGCAAGATTTTTCTCGACGAAAAACAACATTTTTTTGTTATTATCAATCCCAATACTTGTTGATTAGCAGTTCAGGAACGAATCATTATTGAAGTATCGCTTTTGAAACTTTTAAATTTCAGTGAAGTGTACTATAAGTATTTTCAATCTGAATGAACTTGATCTGGCGCCGGCAAAAGGGAAAACATACCAAATGTCGTCAACAAGATCCGAAAATTTACTGAAACTTCGGGGAAATGATTGACCATGATCTCGGAGTCTTGCGTTTGGAATTCTGCTTGAAACCATTGATTATTTTTTCCGGTACGTACTATAGAAAATACTTATCTTCTCATTTTTTTTTTCGTTGTTTGGAAGCAAGATGTGAAAGCAAAACAAGAAAGTATTTAATATCAAGCACTTCTTGAATCATTTTGAGAAAAATTCAGGCAGTTGTTCTGGCGGCGGCAGAGACCTCATGAGCTCTTCAATTCTCTTCTGTCCGGACGCAGCTCCGTCGATCAACATAGACGTGAAATTATAAATGACTAGGCCTTCAAAAAAGAACAGAAGAATGGAGTTGAGAAAGAACTGCACCCATTTGTCGGAACACTGCGATTTCCGATTCCACGACCTGAATATGAGAAAATCAATTTTTTTTTTTGGAATATTATGCGAAATCTAGTAATTTATGGATTTTTGAAGTGTTATTGGAAACAAAAAAGTATTTCAAAACACCACTGTCAGACAAAGCTTTTTGGCCGGTTGGGATGACTCATTTTCCCACCAATGTTATAAAATAAACAGACTTTATCGGCTCATTCAAGTTCGAGTCTTGAAATTTTTGAAAGAGTTTTCGATTCTAAAAAATAAAAAGTAGAAACCTTCTGATCCATCGAAGTAGTTGCCGTATCCTGGGTTGAATGATAACGGCGATGTTAGCGGCAGCAATGATGGTCAAGTTGAAAGTGACGTAGTTTGCTTAAAACGGAAAAAAAAAATCAACTGAAAATCGAGAAATCTTGTAAAAAAGTTGGGCTACAAATTGAAAACTTCTTACACTTTTTCTCGCGATTTTTTACGGGCAATCTTGACAAGAAAAATGAGAAAAAAAAATTTCAGTTGGAACTTGGATAACACTAGCTGAGAAATATTTAAGAACACCGTGATTTCGAAAAATTTGGAAAACTGCGCTTTTTTGCGTGAAAACTCTACCAATGTGTGATGAAAAAAAGATGATTTTTGGGGTTTTTGAGGGGTCATAACTCTAAAAAGCGAGAAGACGCCGGTTATTTTTTTATTAAATAAAAAAATCAAGGAGTCACTGGGTACTTCTAATAAAAAAAATTTCAAGACTTGTTCCTTCATCCGGATATAATTCACATTTATCTTGTGATAGAAAATTAAAATGTTCAAAATATTATCTTTCGTCTCACAATGGAAGTAATTTTTTTTTTGCCGTTGGGAATTTTTAGAAAATTGACCGACACACTTTTTGATGTACCAGAAAAAGATCCTGAAAGTTTCAACCTGCGTGATTTCCTTATTTTTGAGAAATAAGCTCTTAAAGCTCCAACTTGGCCTATTTTAACGGATTTTGTGGGTTTTCTCCGACTTTGAGGTTTTCTTTCTCAAAAACTATGATTTTGTGCAGGTTGAAACTTTCAGAATCGTCTTCTGGTAAATCAAGAAGCGTTTTGACCCATTTTCAGAAA